TTTTTCACATCCTTGTTGCAGTATAAACTGCAATGCCCTGTCGGTGGAATGGGACCACCACAGAAACAAACTGACCAGGAGCAAAGGCCTCAGCAGGTTCCTGATGTACAGGCCAATGCATGCATGAAAACCCTCAAGCCAAGACACCCACTGGCCAGTCCGCAAGGCAGGCAGAGCCCCCCACACTGTTCACCAAGCCAGAGGAACAACCAGCAGTGTGCTCTGATGGGAAGGTCCTGCCCTGGTCTGGGTGGTGGGCACATTCCTAAGGCCTGCACTGCTGACTCGGTGTGACAGGCTATGGAAGGGCACGTCCCCGTTCCAAGCAGGAAAACCCAGATGCAATGAGCCTTTTTCTCTGCATCCTGCTCCAGGCAGGGTGGGGAATATTTGCTTTGGTGGGCCTGGAATTCATGGGGCCCTGGAGCAGCAGCAGCAGGTGATGGGCTGCAACATCGGCGCCACCCAACCAATGGCTACGCCTAGAACTTCTGTGGCAGGACTTCCTCAGCATTTCTTTGAAATCCAGCTGAGGCCAGCTCCTCTCTAGCCGTGGATTCTGGTCACTCCTCTGCTGCCTGCTGAGATGGTTTGCTGCTGCTGTGGCCAGAAGGAGATTTAAACTTCTCCCCAAAGACGTTTCCAAAGCACCATGTATGGCTGGCTCTCAGTGCCAACGCATCGTCGCGCTCTGCCCCTGGCTGTGCTCCTGACATAATAGCTGCCTGGCACGTCTTGATGGACAGAAGTGACACCCCCCATTGCATGGAGCCAGCCCACCCCCCAGCCCTGCTGCTTCCTGGGGAGGGGCTGTGGCTGCTGCAGGTCCCTGCTGCTCCTGCAATGAGAACAGGGGGTCTCAGGCGTGGGCCCAGATTCTCTGCTACCAGAAGCTGCTGGAGAAGCTGTGGGACAGCCATAGTACGATGTCAGCTGCGTGCAACAGGGGGTGCAGCTGCCACGTAACATCTGAATAGGACTGCTGCAGGAACAGGGGTCGCTTTGGATTTCTGAACTGAAGCTGCATCCAAGGAACAACCCATCTCTCCAGCAGAGGGCGCTCAAAGCCACGTTTATTCTTCAAGTGCTTGCGCATATCGATCCCAGTTAGGGGCGTGTGCACAGTCCGAGCAGTGCCTGTGGGGTCGGCTGTGGAGCCCCTTGGAGTCACGCCTTCCTGGTGCTGCATATAGGGCCCTGCCGACCTGCCGCCTCTCCAGGTCCTTCTTACCGCCAGGTCCTTCTTACCTCTCTCGCTTGTTGAGTGAACCCCTAGTAGCTTTCGCTTGAAATTTCTTGTAAATAGTTGAGATGTTTGTTATTGTAGTTTAGACAGTAAGTTTTAGTGGTTATTGGGGGTTCTTCTCCACGTTTTTTCCTTTCCCTTCCCCAGGGCCGGGCCAGGCCTCGGTCCCAGGGGTTCAAACCATGTGGGGTCTGCCAAAAACTGATGCCCAAAGGCCACCCACACACAGCCTGTCCTAAGTCCCCGGGTGAGTTCCACCAAACAGACAGGTGCAAGATCTGCAGGAGTTTTCGTCCCCGCACGGAGAGGGAAAGGGGCCATAGATTAAAGCTGTTGGAGGCAACCCTGCAACCGCAATCAGAGTCGAGCCCTGGGGATCCAGCACCGGGCTCCTCTGTGTCAGTCTGCAGTGCACCAGCTTCAATGAGGGAGGCTGCACCACCAAGGAAGGACTCTGGGACTAGAGACCCTCGGCACCGGCATTCCCCAGCACCGAAGACAGCACCGCACACTGAGTCTCGGCACTGCTCCCAGTCACCGGTGCCTCGTGAGACGCACAGGAAGACTGACGGGGCACTCCCCCTCTCGAGCGCCGGAGCATGAGACAGCTGAGGGAGTGCGACCCGGGCCGGCTCACTCCTCTCCAGCAGTACAACAAGCGGGCCCGTCGAGTCCGGGGCTGGTGGAAGAGGGACGGGAGGAGGACCTGGACCTTCCTTCTACCCCAGAGACTTTCAAGGCGGCCTTATAGCCCTGATTGACCCGCATTCACCAGTGCCCGCTTCTTAAGGTTTGTAGACGGGGTTACTCACTACCAATTCGCGGTCCTCCCATTTGGCCTATCATCGGCACCTCGGGTGTTCACCAAATATATGTCAGTCGTGGCCACCTTCCTGCGGAAAACACGTGTCTAGGTATTCCCTTACCTCGACAGCTGGCTAGTGAAGGGCTGGTCCGGGACACAAGTGGATCAACAGGTCACCCAGATAAGATCCACCTTAATGAATCTGTAAACTCAGGGGTTGTACCGTATGACTGGAAAATTGCTAACATAATTCCTGTTTTTAAGAAAGGGGAAAAAAAAGTGATCTGGGTAACTACAGGCCTGTTAGTTTGACATCTGTAGTATGCAAGGTCTTGGAAAAAATTTTGAAGGAGAAAGTAGTTAAGGACATTGAGGTCAATGGTAAATGAGACAAAATACAACCTGGTTTTACAAAAGGTAGATCGTGTCAAACCACCCTGATCTCCTTCTTTGAGAAAGTAACAGATTTCTGCGGAAAAGGACCTAGGGGTGACAGTGGACGAGAAGCTGGATCTGAGTCAGCAGTGTGCCCTTGTTGCCAAGAAGGCCAATGGCATTTTGGGATGTATAAGTAGGGGCATAGCGAGCAGATCGAGGGACGTGATCGTTCCCCTCTATTCGACATTGGTGAGGCCTCATCTGGAGTACTGTGTCCAGTTTTGGGCCCCACACTTCAAGAAGGATGTGGATAAATTGGAGAGAGTCCAGCGAAGGGCAACAAAAATGATTAGGGGTCTGGAACACATGAGTTATGAGGAGAGGCTGAGGGAGCTGGGATTGTTTAGTCTGCAGAAGAGAAGAATGAGGGGGGATTTGATAGCTGCTTTCAACTACCTGAAAGGGGGTTCCAAAGAGGATGGCTCTAGACTGTTCTCAATGGTAGCAGATGACAGAACGAGGAGTAATGGTCTCAAGTTGCAGTGGGGGAGGTTTAGATTGGATATTAGGAAAAACTTTTTCACTAAGAGGGTGGTGAAACACTGGAATGCGTTACCTAGGGAGGTGGTAGAATCTCCTTCCTTAGAGGTTTTTAAGGTCAGGCTTGACAAAGCCCTGGCTGGGATGATTTAACTGGGAATTGGTCCTGCTTCGAGCAGGGGGTTGGACTAGATGACCTTCTGGGGTCCCTTCCAACCCTGATATTCTATGATTTTTTAGACAAAGGAAATGCAGTGGATCTAATTTACCTCGATTTCAGTAAGGCGTTTGATACTGTGCCACATGGGGAATTATTAGTTAAATTGGAAAAGATGGGGATCAATATGAATATTGAAAGGTGGATAAGGAATTGGTTAACAGGGAGACTACAGCGGGTCCTACTGAAAGATGAACTGTCAGGCTCGAGGGAGGTTACCAGTGGAGTTCCTCAGGGATCGGTTTTGGGACCAATCTTATTTAATCTTTTTTTTACTGACCTCGGCACAAAAAGTGGGAGTGTGCTAATAAAGTTTGCGGATGATACAAAGCTGGGAGGTATTGCCAATTCAGAGAAGGACCGGGATATCATACAGGAGGATCTGGATGACCTTGTAAACTGGAGTAATAGTAATAGGATGAAATTTAATAGTGAGAAGTGTAAGGTCATGCATTTAGGGATTAATAACAAGAATTTTAGTTATAAGCTGGGGACGCATCAATTAGAAGTAACGGAGGAGGAGAGGGACCTTGGAGTATTGGTCGATCACAGGATGACTATGAGCTGCCAATGTGATATGGCTGTGAAAAAAGCTAATGCGGTCTTGGGATGCATCAGGTGAGGTATTTCCAGGCGAGATAAGGAGGTGTTAGTACCGTTATACAAGGCACTGAGACCTCACCTGGAATACTGTGTGCAGTTCTGGTCTCCCATGTTTAAGAAGGATGAATTCAAACTGGAACAGGTACGGAGAAGGGCTACTAGGATGATCCAAGGAATGGAAAACTTGTCTTATGAGACTCAAGGAGCTCGGCTTGTTTAGCCTAACCAAAAGAAGGTTGAGGGGAGATATGATTGCTCTCTATAAATATATCAGGGGGATAAATACCGGTCTTTTACCCGAAGCCTCATGCCAACAGCTGTGTTCGCCAGGCCTTGGCTTTTTATATTGAATGGACAAAATCGTTCCGCAAGTCGAACCAGCTGTTTGTCGCAGTGGCGGACAGGCTGAAGGGTCTCCTGGTGTCCTCCCAGAAGAATATCCTCTTGGATCACATCCTGTATCTGGTCAGAATACATCCCCTGTGGTGCTCCACCGTCCTGGGGCTGTAGTGCATTCTGGGAGATGGAGTACAGCTGGTGAAAGAAGCCCATAGAGGGGGCAAGAGGCAGCTGAAGTACCCCAGCCCGGTGCCCTAACAATAGAACTGGGGCGTTGAATGCCTTTTTTTAAAACAGAAGCTGGAAGGTTTCCCCAGAGGCAGGTACTTTCCATGAAAAATTTAGTTTAGGCAAAACCTAACTTTCCATAAGTTCCAGGGGCTGTCCCTGCCCTCGGCTGCCAGTCATGGTCATACAGCTCGCAGATTTCCACACATCATGTCCCACCGAAGCCCCCTGGCCCTACAGACAGCTGTTACCCATGGCACAGAGGGGTAACAAGCCCCAGGAGGAGATGGGTCAATGGCTCTGCTCAGGCCCTGGCTACTGCAAAACGTTTGTTCTTACTGTGCTTCCAGCTCCTGGCAAGTGGATGGCTTCTACGCAATCGCTGCTGTGAATTTTGCTTGTATGATGAGTTTTAACCATTAAACTGAGCTGGCTCCACCGCTTTCTAAACCTCTGTGAGCTCCCCACAGCCCCGAGGGCTCAGGCTCCCAGCTCCTGGTAGCTATTGCTCATGTACAGCCGTAGATGTAAGAAGGGCTTTGCCAAAGCCAGGCCCTGCCCCAAGTTGCTTCGCAGCCTAACTGACCCTTTGCTGGGGGCGTCCCAGGCCAGGGAGACAGAGACGGCAGGCGCCGCAGGAGGGGTCTGGTAAAATAAACTTTTTATTATCGTTTTACAATATATTACACCGATTGGAACGGGCCCTAGGCTCCAGGGCCTGTCTCACAAAATCCACCCAGGCTGCTGTGCTTACAGCCAAGCCCTGCAGCCAAGCAGAAGGCTCCTTCAGATACAAGCGTCTCAGCTCAGTATGAAGAGAGGCTACTAAAGGGTTAACGGGAAAGTGTGCGTGTGTGTTTCCATCCGTCCCCTGCCTCCCCCCCCCATCAGCGTGTGCCTGTGTGATGCATGGGGGCGTGGGCAGCGTGTAGCCCACAGCTAAATAAATGCCAACGCTAGCTAGAAAAAACACACCACCCGCCTGCTTTACCACTGACCCTGCCGTGGGGCTGCGCTAACAGGCTCCCGGCCGGTTCAGGTCCCTTCCTCCGGCCTCTTTCCAGCAGCACGCTGGGGATGAGCGCAGCCCGCGGCCCCGGGGAGGAGGCAGGTGCAGAGGCTGGAGTCCTGGAGGAATTTAGCCCTCCCCAGGTTACTTTAGGGGGGTGGGAACCAAACCAGTCTCTGCAGCAGCTACGCCCTGGGCAGACAGAGCAGAGGCCTCACCTCCCCCTGCAGCCCAGCCCCCGGGTGTAGGTCTGGCTGGGCTGGGCCTCCACGCACCCAGCCAAGGAGGGTCACGTTGAACCGGCTCCTCCTGGGTCCTGCCACAGCCGCCTGGGTGCTGATCTCGCCGCCACTGATCCTCGGCCGTGTGCGCTCATATCTTCTTGGATTTAATGTGCACAAAGAGAGTGGCCGGTGCCAGGGACGCCCCGTCCCTGGAGCGCAGGTGGATGTGACGATACCCTGGGAACAGAGGGAGGGAGCAGGTGAGGCAGTGAAGCAACCAGGCCCTGGTCCTTTGGCCCCCCAGCCAGCATTCAGAGCATAGCTTTGTGTAGCATTGTTGCAGTCCGCTAAGGAAGCTGGTTATCTGCTATTGAAATGCAGCCACCTCTGGGGTGGAGCAGGGCACAGCCGCGCTGCCCAGTGAGAGTAGGAAGGAATACTGTTGCCCTGGCTGGCACTGCAGGGCAGGGGTGTGGGCAGGCTTCCCTCCCAGCGATGCAAAGAAGAGTGGGGGAAAGGCAGGTTGGGTCCCCCACTCTGGCCTGAAGGAGGGTGGCTAGCCCCAAAGGAAGCCAGCCAGACACCCTCTGCTCTGGTCTCCCTCGCAGCTTCTGGAGAGGGGATTGTGTGGTCCATGGAGCTGTAGGACACAGAGCCTGATGGCGCCAGGCCTGCAGCAGGAGTCGCTCAGCTCTGGGCCAGCCGGACTGACGCCACAGGGTGAGCCCTGCTGAGCTGCGGGGTACCCTCCATTTCCCTAAGCATCCCCCAAGCCTACTTTCATGGCCCCTCGCTGCAGCTCCCACACCCCCCATGCAGGGGGCCTCTGGCCAGTGCTGCCCCTTGGTTGGCAGAATAGGCACCGCTGGCTCTCTGCCCCGTGGGCCTGGCCAGCCCCTGCCAGGCACCCACCTTCCCTCAGGCTGGTGAAGGGCAGGGTGAATTGCCCCACGAAGTCATTGCAGGAGGTGGTGTCATAATCTTCCACCACGAAGCGCACCAGGGCCAGCTCCGGCACCCATAGCTGGAAGCTCAGGGTCTCCTCCCAGCGTGGATTGAACCCTGCAGGGGTGGAGAATGGACAGGGCACAGACTGGGGCCAGCTGCCCCTGCCCCCCCCCCCCCCCCCCAACCCAGGCCCCCTGAGCTAACAGGCTGCTCCTGGGTTCCAGCAGCAGCGGGATCCACGTCGCGCTCTGCAGGGCCTCAGGTTCGGTCTCTGCAGACTCCCTGCCCGCCAGCAGCAAGGATCCCCCCGCCCCCCATTGATAATTACAGCATAACCCTGTAAAGGGGGGGGTGCCCTCAGCCCCCTGGGTGATTTACACCCTGAAGCAGGAGGATTTCCAGCCCTTCTCTCCTCCTCGCTAGCTGCTCTTCTCAGATAAATGTCCAGGCCTCTCTGGAATCCTGCCTGTCTTGTGGTAGGGAGTCCCACCGGCTAACCAGGAATGATTTTCATTTCTCAGGGGCATGATCTGCAGCTCATTAACCTGCCTGTTACTGTGGGGCAGATTATCTCTCTCAACCTGCAGGGGGCACTGTGGACTCCAGCATGAACCCAGGGTCATTAGCAGACTCCGGCACTCCTGGATTCTGCTTCGGGGAGTGGTTCTGCCAGGAGAGGCCAAGGGGCCCGACTCCCCTCCTGCCCAGGGCATTCCACAGAGCTCCTCGGGGTGCTGACAAGAGCGCCCCCTGCTGAGCCCTGCTCTGCTGCCTGCAGCATTCCAGCTGTCCTGGCAGGGCTCCCAGCCAGTGGCAGACCGGGTCTCCTCTGCTTAGCTTGGCCAGGCCCCAGCCCCAAAATCACATGGTGCCATGGGGTGGGGTCTGTGGCCCACTCACCATTGTTGAGCTTGTACTCGGTCTGTTTACTGCTGCAGTCGGCTCGGACGCCGTGGATCTCCACGCGCACGAAGGGGTCCACGATGGAGCTCTTCTTGTTGTTCAGCTTGGGGAGCTGCTGGGCTGTGATCACCTGCGGGGAGGTGGGGTTAGAGCGGGGGAGGGGACTGGCCACGATGTGGGGCGTGGTCCCCTCACTGGATGCACCATCACCCTCCCTGGGGAAGCTGGAACAGGGGCAGCAGCAAAGCTGGCCTAGGCCTGGGGGAGGGGAACAGGCTGGGCAGGGCCCGGGCCCCCGGCATTCGCAGCTCTGAGCCCCTCCCCTGGCACACACTAGCCATGTGGCATGGGCACCTACACACCCCTGCTGCACACCCATCTGGCACAGCCCCACTGACCAGGCAACCCGCTCCTCACACCCACACATGCCCCACCCCGCTGCACCTTGACCAGCAGCAGGGTGGCTCTGTGGCCAGGCCCTCGCCCGCTCTCGGGGTCAAAGGAGGTCTGGCGGCTCCGCAGGAAGCTGGGCTTGAGCACGTAGCCACAGCGCCCGTTCACCAGGAACCGCCCGTGGTTCAGATCCATCTCGCAGCCGGGGGTCTGGAAGTTGAGAGCCACTTCAAAATGAAACACAGAGAGCAGGCGGGTTTATACAGGCAGGGTCCAGGGGAGCCGCGTACACGGGTGGGGGCTGGCGGTGCCAGGGCAGGGCAGGGTCCAGGGGAGCCGCGTATAAGGGTGGCATCTGGAGATACCAGGGCAGAGTCTGGGGGAGCTGGTGTACCTGGGTGGGGTCTGGAGGTGCCAGGGGAGGGGGAGGGGGAATCTGTCAGTCTCCCCGCATGGGACAAACAGCCTGTCACCGCCTGGCTTTCGTGAGGGGCGGCTGCTGCGGCTCACGGCAGGGCCCCATGTCGGTGCCCCAGGCCCAGGCTCCATGCCCCATGCCCAGCAGCTCTCCCGTGAGTCCCCCTGGGCTGGAGGGCTGGGTCTGCAGCCACAGCACACAGGCAACGGGAGGGTGACATGGAGCAGGACCCTTGTCCTGGGCTGCAGACAGATTCGGCACCTCGGGAGGCCAGTCACAGGGCCATGCCCTGGCTGGGCCCTCGGGGACACTGGCCAGGAAGGATCCATGAGAACCAGCAGGTGGTGCCATTCCTGGGAATAGTGATCAGACTCCCTGGAGCCTGGATCTGAATATTCCCCCCTCACCGTCGAGGGCATCAGCCTGGTGCCCCATGCAGCCCCCACTCCACTAACCATCACTATGGCCTTTCTGGGCCCCTCCCCTCTCTGCACAGCACAAAGGAGTCCAATATCATTATTATCAATATCATAGATGGGGAAACTGAGGCACAGAGGGGAGTGGGCCCCCTTCTCACCTAGCTGGCAGCCGGCGTTCCACATCTCCTGGGGGTTGTAGTTTGAAGAGTTCATCTTCAGCCCCAAGGGGTAGATGCGGCTCAGCTGTCGGGTGTTGTACCGGACCAGGCCATTCCCTGCAGGAGGGGAAAGCAGCTGCCTGTTAGCGGGGCTGGGAGTGCGGGTCAGCTCCTCCCTGGGCCACCAGAGCCAGGCATAGCGAGGCCGTATCGCCCAGCTGGGGCTGCTGGCCAGGGCAAGTGACCAGTGATCTTGGGAGCCCAACAGGAGACACCTAATAGTACCTGAGATTGTGCAGCTCAGAGCAGGAACTCCTTGGGGCAGGGACCATCTGGGCCCTATGTCTGGGCCTGGGGAAGTTGCACTGTATGTAAGGGAGCAGTATGACTGCTCAGAGCTCCGCTATGAAACTGCAGAAAACCCTGAGAGTCTCTGGATTCAGTTTAGAAGTGTGAGCAACAAGGGTGACGTCGTGGTGGGAGTCTGCTAGAGACCACCGGACCAGGGGGATGAGGTGGACGAGGATTTCTTTCGACAACTAACGGAAGTTACTAGATCACAGGCCCTGGTTCTCTTGGGGGACTTCAATCACCCTGAGATATGCTGGGAGAGCAATACAGCGGTGCACACACAATCCAGGAAGTTTTTGGAAAGTGTAGGGGACAATTTCCTGGTGCAAGTGCTGGAGGAACCAACTAGGGGGGGAGCTTTTCTTGACCTGCTGCTCACAAACCGGGAAGAATTAGTGGGGGAAGCAAAAATGGATGAACCTGGGAGGCAGTGACCATGAGATGGTCGAGTTCAGGATCCTGACACAGGGAAGAACAGAGAGCAGCAGAATATGGACCCTGGACTTCAGAAAAGCAGACTTTGACTCCCTCAGGGAACTGATGGGCAGGATCCCCTGGGAGAATAACATGAGGGGGAAAGGAGTCCAGGAGAGCTGGCTGTATTTTAAAGAATCCTTATTGAGGTTACAGGGACAAACCATTCCAATGTGTAGAAAGAATAGTAAATATGGCAGACAACCAGCTTGGCTTAACAGTGAAATCCTTGCTGATCTTAAACATAAAAAGGAAGCTTACAAGTGGAAGATTGGGCAAATGACCAGGGAGGAGATAATGCTCAGGCATGCAGGAGTGAAATCAGGAAGGCCAAATCACAATTGGAGTTGCAGCTAGCAAGGGATGTTAAGAGTAACAAGAAGGGTTTCTTCAGGTATGTTGGCAACAAGAAGAAAGTCAAGGAAAGTGTGGGCCCCTTACTGAATGAAGGAGGCAACCTTGTGAGAGGGGATGTGGAAAAAGCGAATGTACTCAATGCTTTTTTTGCCTCTGTCTTCACGAACAAAGTCAGCTCCCAGACTGCTGCACTGGGCAGCACAGCATGGGGAGAAAGAAGTGGTTCAGGACTATTTAGAAAAGCTGGACGAGCACAAGTCCATGGGGCCGGACGAGTTGCATCCGAGGGTGCTAAAGGAGTTGGCAGATGTGATTGCAGAGCCATTGGCCATTATCTTTGAAAACTCATGGCGATCGGGGGAGGTCCCGGATGACTGGAAAAAGGCTAATGTAGTGCCCATCTTTAAAAAAGGGAAGAAGGAGGATCCTGGGAACTACAGGCCAGTCAGCCTCACCTCAGTCCTTGGAAAAATCATGGAGCAGGTCCTCAAGGAATACATTTTGAAGCATTTGGAGGAGAGGAAGGTGATCAGGAACAGTCAACATGGATTCACCAAGGGCAAGACATGCCTGACTAACCTGATTGCCTTCTATGACGAGATAACTGGCTCTGTGGATGAGGGGAAAGCAGTGGATGTGTTATTCCTTGACTTTAGCAAAGCTTTGGATACGGTCTCCCACAGTATTCTTGCCAGCAAGTTAAAGAAGTATGGGCTGGAAGAATGGACTGAAAGGTGGATAGATTGTCGGGCTACACGGGTAGTGATCAATGGCTCCATGTCTACTTGGCAGCCGGTATCAAGCGGCATGCCCCAAAGGTCGGTCCTGGGGGCTGGTTTTGTTCAATATCTTCATAAATGATCTGGAGGATAGTGTGGATTGCACCCTCAGCAAATTTGCAGATGACACTAAACTGGGAGGAGAGATAGATACGCTGGAGGGTAGGGATAGGGTCCAGGGGGCCCTAGACAAATTAGAGGATTGGGCCAAAAGAAATCTGATGAGGTTCAACAAGGACAAGTGCAGAGTCCTGCACTTAGGACAGAAGAATCCCATGCACCGCTACAGACTAGGGACCGAATGGCTCGGCAGCAGTTCTGCAGAAAAGGACCTAGAGGTTACAGTGGACGAGAAGCTGGATATGAGTCAACAGTGTGCCCTTGTTGCCAAGAAGGCTAAAGGCATTTTGGGCTGTATAAGTAGGGGCATTGCCAGCAGATCAAGGGACATGATCATTCCCCTTTATTCGACATTGGTGAGGCCTTTCAGGAACTGCTGAGCCCAAGCCCTCCGGCAGTGTCCCAAACTCACTAGCCCTTTCAGAACATCTCAACTGCTAGCTGCAGTGCTGGGCCAGGCCAGTGCCCCAGACAGGTCTCTGCAGGGTCACCTCCCCCTTCCCCAGCGCAGCTCAGAGCAGAGGGATGAAAAGCATCCAAGGAAGAGGAGAGCCCCCCAAGTCACGCCCAGCAGGGAACCAAGCCCCACCGCAGCAGGTCGGCTCCATGCTCAGACAGCAGGAAGTCTGCTGGGTCCCATGGGTCCCAGGCCTGCCTGACCCCAGCTCACCGCAACCAGAGCCAGTCTAATCCAGCTTCCTCCAATCTAGTCCCTGATCTCTTATTTCGGCTCAGTGCAATCCCACCCCATCTAATGCACTGGATCCCAGTCTGATCCAGGCCAGCCCTGCCCCATGGAGCCCAGTGTGACCCCAGTGTGACCCAGTGCTCTGCAGCCCAGCCCAGCTGCCCTGGGGCCCAATCCTGCCATCTCCACTGAGGCCCAGCACCCACCGGCTGGTTGGAGTCGCACTAAGACCTGAAGAACCCAGTCTGTCTGCCCCTCCCCCAACCTTACCTGACTCCTTGATGAGCTTCCTGGCCTTCCTCTCGCTGAAGGAGGACATCTGGCAGGCCTGCTTGCTCCTGAGTGCACGCTCCAGGCTCTGGAAGGGGACGGCCTGGCAGTACACCACCAGGTCGGAGAGCTCCTGGGAGATCTGCGCAGTGTCCTTCGCCTGCCGGGGAGCACACGCAGCGATGGGGTCACTGCCCCAGGAGTGCAGCGCGGCTCCCCCAGAACGTCCACCCGTCAGTGCTCAGCTGGGACCTTTCAGCACCTTGGTGGGGGCGGGGGGTACTTGCTTCGCTGAGCCCGCTACTGCGTCCTGAACTTGCCCAGGGGGCAAGGGCTGGTGCTACACCCCCCACCCAACATCCCACTGCTGTGACAGGCCCCAGCCCTGCAGGTGCTGGGCACCCCAACTTCCATCAACATCCGAGTGAGCGCAGGGTGCTGAGCACCTCCCAGGCCAGGGCCCTCCAAGAGAAACCCCAGTGAGCACCAAGAGTGGCCTTCGTGCCAGGCGATAGGCGCAGAGCCCTGCTCTCATCCACAGGGCCCTGGGACCCATGGCAGCCGCCCGCAGAGGACTGGGGCCCATGAGGGGTGAGCCTCCTGGGGGAGGGGGAGGCAGGAGGGGCTCACCTAGGAGTCAGCAGCCCTCAGTCAACCACCCGGCCAGGACAGCAACAGAGCACCGGCCCTAGGACTCGCCAACCTCCACCCCAGCCTAGGCCCAGGGGGCAGCCCCGTACAGACATGCAGTGGGGTGCAAGAGGGGATGGAGTCAGTCCTACAGTCACACACAGAGACGGTACGTCCCCCCCAGCTCTGCCCAGACTCCACCTCATGGAAGCACTCACCTGGAGTGGCCTGATCTCCTGCAGCAAATGGGACGACTGGAAGAGAACAGAAAGCGTCGTATCAGGAGTTGGGGGAGCAGAAAACCGCGGTCTCAGGCCCTGCCCAAGGTGGTGGGATGGGAACGCTGCACACTTGGCCTCTGCCCTCACATCCATTAGTCACCGGCCCCGGGATTCCCTCCACCAGCTCTGGCCCCGCCGAGTCCATGGTCCCCGCCCAACAACTGACCCGGCTCCATGAGCTCTCTTCTCCCCAGCCAGCCTGCATCGCAGCCCCCACCTTTACAGACCCTCTCCAGACCCCGCACCCCTGCGGTGCAAACCTGGCAGCTAAGCACAGTGCTCAGCAGTGGGACAGGGAGCAACAGACTGCAGAGGAACCAGCAGGAGAGGTTCACATCAGGACTGTAAAGTGTGGCCTGGCCAGGCCACTAACTCCCTGAACTGGAAAACGCCATGGCACCTTTAATGGCCCTACGTGGCTAGCACCATGTAGACAGCAGCGCAGCACCCCCGAGCACTTGCCCAAGGCATTGTCCCAGCGGGGTCTCTGCGGGAAAAGCCCCCCCCACCAGCACTTCCTGGGAATGTGGATTCAGCCCAAAGCCACAGAACAAACGTGACTGGCTTTGCTTCCTGCAAATAGCAGATCCTACCATCAGCAGGGGAAAGCAGCCCCCTCTCCCTGCAGGGATGGGAAGGTTGCTCCTTCGCCCCTACGAGGGCTTTACAGAGAATAGGGCGTTGGATCCTGCGCCAGCCCAGGCAAGACGGGCACAGGAGGCTATTCCAGAGCAGCTGCTCATGCCCAGAGCTGGCCGGAAGGGACTGATCTGGGACAGGGCAGCCGTGCAGCCTCCGATGCTCAGAACAGTTCACAGCCACTCCGGCTCGTCCATCCTGAGGAGAGCCAGGCTGGAAATTTCCACCAGAGTGAATTTCCAACAGAAAATCCCCTTTCCGCAAAACTGCAATTTTCCACAGGAAAAATTTCCATTTTGCCAAAAAAAAAATAATCCCGCCCCACCCCCTCCATCAGCAAAATAGAAATGTGGCTCTGCCCTGCCCGCCAGATGGCATGTCTCAATTTCACCTTCTCCCTGCAAAAAATGAAATTGACAACAGCCAGCCAGGCGAGCTGCCAGGGGCTCTGTGCCCAGCTCTCTGCCTGTCCAGCAGCTAGGCTGGGAGGAAGTGAGGAAGCTGGGGTCTGGTCTACACTAACGCATGCTGGCACAGCTGTGTCAGCTAGAAGTGTGAAAAAACCACCCCACAACTGACGCTGCTAGGCCGGCAAAACCCACAGTGTAGACGCAGCTCTGCTGAGAGAAGAGAGCTTCTGTCAGCACGTGGAGGTGGTGTTACGGCCCGGGCAGAACTTCTCCCTCCCTCTGTCTGCACGAGGGGTTAGGCCAGCGAAGGGAGGCCCGCACAGGCTCTGTAGTGCAGATGTGGTCTGAGAACGGGGCAGGCCCTGGACAGCTCCTGTCAATTTCACTTTCTGCCAGCAGGGAAACAGCGCAATCGACAAGAGCCAGGCAGGCAGCAAGCTGACACCTTCCTGGGGTTCTCCTGAAAGGGAATTTGTCTGGAAATCCGGGCAGTGGGGCAGGGGGCAGCTACACACAGGGCAACTTTCTTGGGAGTATCTGAATGAGAGGGAGTGAGAGAAATCCCCGTCGAGAGGCAGTGAATGCCGTGTCTATCTCAACACTGACAGGCCAGGGAGGAGGCAGCCCCCTGCTGCGAACTGGCTGCAAGCCCCTCTGTACCCTTTCCGAGGTGGCTTTGGGATCTCAGGGGCGCTGCCAGCCCGTCCCATGGGGCTGTCGCTCCCCAGCCTCCAGCTAGCGGAGGTCACGCACCAAAGCTGCAGCAGATGCTTTGGCCTCAGTGCCGCAGCCCATCGCTCCGTGCCACAATTCGCAACACGAGGGGCTGGCCCACGGTACCCCCGTACCCTCCTGCGGTCTTTGCGCAGCACCCGCTCCTCTTCCTCCTCTTCCTCCTCCTCCTCGTTGTTGTCGGAGAGGAAGCTCATGTTCTCGGGGTCACACACCAGGTCCGGCAGCTTCTTCCCTTTCACCAGGATCTTCCCTTTCAGTTGCTGCATGAGAGGAAAGCCCCTGTCAAAGCTCTGCACCCTGCCCAACCCCCCCACCCCCATTCCCAGGGGCTGTCTGCCCCACTGCGTGGTCCAAGCTGGCCAGGGGGCAGGGGATGGTGGGAGGCAGCACCCAGGGATGCCCATGTGATGAAGCCATGGAGCTTGGGGGTCTGGGTCCCCTCTCTGAGCATTCCCCCCCTGCAGGAGTCCATGGGAATGCTGCCCAGGGATCCCTCCCACGGGAAGTCCCAGGGGGTGTTACCTCTGGTGACGGGAGCTCCTTGGGGACCTGCCCATCCAGCATCTGGGTCAGCAGCATGTCTCCCAAGATTGCCTTCATGTGCTGAACCATGGTCACCTGCTGCTCCAGCCCGCAGTGATTCTCCAGGGACAGGATCACGGGGTACGAGGAGTGCTGGGGAGATGGGGGGGGGGTCAGGGACAGTGCCATGTGGGACTGGGCCCCACCCCCTTCCCAGGCAGGCCAGCGTAGGCAGGACCCTGCAGCAGGGTCCACAGACTGACACCAGCCCACTGCTATGGGCTGAGCGTGGGATCCCACGGGCCCAGCCCTGGCCCTACTGATGTCAGGGGCAAAACTCCCACTCATGGGTGGGAGCAGGGTTCAGCTCCATGGCTGGTGGTCACCAGGCAGCTGGGGACAGAGGGGCAAGAAGCACATTGGTGCAAACTCCAGTCCCCTCCTGCTGCAGCAGAGCTGGGCCCTCTGCCCGCCGTGGCACTCACCTTGAAGGCATAGTCCCGGATGATCTCGATGACATCCCTGAAGAGGATCTTAGAGGTCAGGGTGTGGCCGTGGTAGATGACAGGCTCCCCGTTGGAGCCCTCCCAGCAGTCCAGCTCCACACAGCGGCAGCCCTCCATGAACGCCCTGTCAGGGATGGCACGGTTCAGCCAGGGGCTGGCATCACAAACTGCCACCTCATGCCCTTAATACGAGTCCAGAGACTCCAGCGCAGCTGGGGCCCCTGATCCTCCCCAGGCAGCCCTGCCCTGGCCCCTGCCCTGTGGTCATGATGTTCTCCCAGAGAACGACTCCCCCCGGAGGCAGTGCAGTGCGGCTGTTCACCCTGAGCTAGTGACGGGCCCTGACCGTCCATCGACATCCTGGTTTACCCTGAGGAGAGCCTGGTGCAGGACACAGCTCGGAGCAGGCACGGAAAGGCAAAGCCCTGGGACGGTGGGCTTGGCTCGATTAAGGCTAAGTGGGGAGATGGGACTGGACAAGGAGTTTTAGACACCTATGGGAGGTGCAGAGCTATTCTGCTGACTCACCCTGCCTGCCAGATCAGGTAGGTCTCATTTAGCTCCAGCTGAGCCGGGACAGCTAGAGGGAGGGCCTGCCAGGAGAAAGAGCTGGCTCAGGACAGAACACAGCCCTGCTTCAGGGATTTGTCTTAGGGGTCAGAACAAAGGCAAACCCTGGCATGGGGAGGGTAGAACTTGTAGCACAGCGTGGGGCTTGGCCATTACCAGAAAGTGAGAGTGGGATCACACTGGAGCATGTCAGGGAGTGAGGCACAGGTGGAGGGGGAGAGAGAGAGACAGTTACCCTGTGGAATTCACTGCTGCAGGATGTTAGTGGAGTAAATTACTTTGTGCCAAACCCTCATCCCCCAATACCAGGGCTGGTGCAGGAGTGACACAGGGTGCCCTCCCCATTGTGCCCAGAATCAACCAGCAGCTGCTCCTGCAGCCTCAGGGTTGCAGTTCCCTCTGCCCCTGTTGCACTGCTCCCCTCCACTGAGGGTTTGACTGGGGGATCCACACCACAAGATCCACCCCCGAGTCAACTGCAGGGGGAGTCCCCACAGAGGTCTGCTCTCTGACAAGCCTCCTATTATGCTGCATTCAGAACACAGGCCCCATAGACACTGAAATCAACAGGAAAAGGATTCTGCAGCAAGCAGCGCTTGCTGGGATAAAAGTGATAAGACCTTTTAGCCCCCATGCTTCAGGGCACTGCCTGCGCCCTGGCTGGGGTCAGGCAGGAATTCCTGCAGATGGATACTGTCAGACAGTCAGAGACTTATCCCTTCTGGGGAAGCGCTCAGCATGGCTGCTGGCCACCAGCGCTGCTCTGCTTCAGCAGGACCAGGCCTATGCTCTAGGCCACCTCTCTGCCCTGCTGGCACACCCCCCTCCAGATGGGTCTCAATACCCTCCCAACCCTGCCAGTTCCCCATGTTCTGCCCGGCCCCCTTACCTGATGTAGGCTTCCGTGCTGCTGGCCCCCCCGATCTGATTGTCGGTCAGGTAGGTGTTGTGGGAGGTGGAGATGAAGTAATGGCAGAGGGGCTGGCTCATGTCCTGGTAGACGTCGGTGTGCTCCTGGTTCAGGATGTCACCAGCCGCAGACAGCAGGTACATCATGAACCCGTCCAGCATCATGCGGTTGTGCTGTTTGGCTGCAGGGACCACATTTCCAGGGGCTCTTTAAAGGCTCCTCCCCAGATTTCGGAACTAGTGTCTGTGCACGAGGCAACGTGTCCATGTCGGGAATTTCAAGCTGTCACAGCCTCTCACCCCTATTTGGAACCCTCGGGGGTTAGCAAGCCTAGGGGTTAGAGTCTGGGAGTCCTGATGCGACCCTGGCTGGGACAGGGATTGCGGGCGCTAAAGTAAGGGCTGGGGTGGCAGGAATCCTGGGCCCCGTGCCCAGCTCCATGAGGGGGTGTGGTCTGTCCTGGCTAGAGCTTGGCACTAGGACCTGGGTTCTCTCTGGCTCTGCTGCAGTCTCACTGTGTGGCCTTGGACACGTCCCCTTGCCCACTCTGTGCCTCGGTTTCCCCAGCTGTATCGCATTCCCCGCTCGCGCACACTCTGGTGCCATGTCCCTCCCATGGGGAGTAGACTAGGAAGCAGTGAAAAGTGCAGGGGTTGAGATCAGGCACAGGCTGCGGCGTGATTTCTGTCAGCCGTGCATTCCCACAGGGCGGCCTGGGCTGAGAGCTCTGTCATGGGGCCTCCATTTGTCCAGCTGTCAGTGAGTTTCTAGTGCCCCAATCAGCATCTACCCCACGAAGGCTCAGCCCCAGCGTCCTCTGCCCCAGCCATGGCAGGTGTCTGGATCTTGAGTTAGCAGCAATGGGGCCACGGGAGCGTTTTACAAATCTAGGCTGATTGTCCAACGCTGCTGCCGTGCCAGCGAAGAAACCAGCCAGCCAGCTCCCCGAGGCAGCCCCACAGGGCACTTCACCCCCAGCCTTGGGCCACTTGGTTCCTTTTCCTTATTGCTCATAAACCATCCTAGACACAACTGTGTGCCAGTCGCCCTGGGCTGAGATAGCCCAGTTGGGGCAACCAGGGGTCAGGACAGGAAGCGAGGCTCTCTGTGCCAGCTGGGAGCACACTCGGCTCTGAGAGGAACAGGAGAGACACCCTCCGGGAATGCGGGAGTGGGGCTTCTGGGATTGCTTCAGCTGCGATTAGCATAACGAAGCACTGCCAAACCACATGCAAAACCTCAGCAGATCTCCCTTACCCACGGATGTGGCTCCGCTGACCGCAGTGGAATTACCCCCGATTCCTCCCCCCAGTAAACTACAGCACAGCTGGACCACTGGAATCTCCCTCAGTTCCAGCCCTATTGCGTGGCTGGCCCCAGCTGCGTCAGGGGCTGCAGCAAAACCCTGGGTCTAAACTCCCCTGGGCTCAGAGGAGGTTCAGATCTGGGTCTGCAGCCTCAGTGCAACCATGCTCACAGCATGGGAAATGCCCAGAAAACCCCTCCAGCCCCTGAGCGCCTCAGCGCCACGGCAAACCAGCACCGCAGAGCGCAAAGCCAGGATAGGCCACAGTGTGCACCCGGGCAGCGGGACTGGAGTCTCAAGGCCTCAGATATGCTGGAGCTTGTCCCACAACAAAGATCTTTTCTCCAGCTCTGGTTTCATGAGCGCTGTCGCAGCGGCACCGGGGCTGGGATGCAAAATATGGATCCGGATCCGAACCTCCTCGCAGTCCAGGGATGTTTATTGCTGCAGCCTGTTTACACAGCCACAAAGTTCAGCCAAGCCAGCTCCTAATGGTAAAGCTGGTTGCAATGCGCATGGCTGAGGCAGAGCAGACAAGGCGGAGAAAACGGTGTTACCCCACGGGCTCCCAGCTCTGCTGTACCCTCTGGGAGAACAGCTCCCAGCCTGGAAAGTCTAGCTGCCTCTGGACCCAGCTTCCAGCCCCCATCTCAGCCCCCTCAGTCTGGATCGTCTGTGGGCACTCCTGCCTTCCCAGCCCACGACAGCTCCGCACAGTCACAGAGACACAGCGTTAAAGCCAGAGGGGCCACCAGGGCACAGGCCACCAGCCCTCCCAGCCCCCCACAAGAGTAAAGTCAATGAACTAGTGTGTGCCACAAGCAGAGATGGGAGCCAAAGGGCACCAGGGCCCGAGGCCTCGCAATGGCAGGGGAATGATGAAGTGAGAGACACCCAGATAATCCTGGCCAGTGACCCACTCCCCATGCTACAGCGGAAGGCGAACCCCGCCAGGGCCCCACTTAAACTTCCTCACTGTGATCACACAGCACGGCCCTGAAGGCTCTCCGAGCCGGACTGGACCCAGACGGGCTCCCAGGATGAGGCCTGGCTGAGGTCAGGGGTGTTCACACGAGGCTGGCACGTTGGTTCTGCCCATTGCAGAACCAGGGGCCGGATCCGGACACAAAGCTTGGCCCTGTCTAGCTGAACCAGCCATTCCAGACAGAGGGGCCAGGCGGAGCTGACCCAGCCCTGAGGTTCGGGGTGTCCTCATAGAATCATAGAATATCAATGTTGGAAGGGACCTCAGGAGGTCATCTAGTCCAACCCCCTGCTCAAAGCAGGGCCAATCCCCAATTTTTGCCCCAGATCCCTAAATGGCCCCCTCAAGGATTGAACTCACAACCCTGGGTTTAGCAGGCCAATGCTCAAACCACTGAGCTATCCCTCCCTCCCAGGGCAGGGCTGCTTTGGGCCACTCAGTACGAGAGAGAAGAACTCGCACCTGAGACTGCGAAGCAGGGACCAGGGGTGTTCTGATGCTGCCGGGTGGTCCTGGCGCCAGTCCCCTGCGGCCCACACCTGCTAGAGCAGTTAGACCCCACACCTAGATCCAGCCTGTTCCAGCCTGCTCAGGGAGGGGCTGCCAGGCCGGGCTCTGGGGAGGGCTCCCCACAAATGCCAGCTGCCTTCCGGGGCAGGCCCAGCTCCCCACCATTGCACCAGCCTCTGCTCCTGCCCCTGCTGCTCCGTCCCTCACCGTTCCCCTTCAATCCAGGCCTGATTTGTGTGGCCACTTGCTCCAGCTCAGGTCAGCCCCATCACACCCACGGTGCAGGCCAGCCAGGCTGTATAGCACCTTTGATGGGAATGTCTCCAATTCATTAATCCTCACCACCCCCCTGACAGATGGGGAAACTGAGGCACAGAGCGAGGACCTGACTTGTCCAAGGTCTTGCAGCGAGTCAGTGGCAGAGCCAGGGACAGAACCCGGAAGTCTGACTGCCCGTTCCCCTGTTGTAACCACCAGAACTTCCCCCCTTAGAACACAGAATAGAACCCAGGTGTCCTGATACACAGCCCGCTGCTATAACCACTAGACCATGTCTCCGTCTGTCTGGGCTGGAGAAAGGAGCTAGAAGAACCTGTGGACACCAATACTTGGGTGTGCACAGAAGTGGCACTGGTTTAAAACCGACGTTTGTTAATCAGGAGCAGCAATGGGGTTTGGACCTGCCCTGAGACCCGGGAGCATCTCCACCATGCACCATCAGGAGTCCCCATGTCGCACAGCTGGGAATCCCCATGGAAACCCACCCTGCCAAGGCTCTTGCCCCTGTGAGCTGAGTTTGTCCATTCTCAGCCCAGTTTCTACTGGGAGGTGCAGCCAGGTCCCCAGAACCAACCACCATGACGCAGTGGTACCAGGCCCAAGGACTGAAAGAGCCACAGAGACTGTATCCACCTCTCCTTCCTAGATGGGCTCTTTGCAGGATCGGACTAGGCACAATGGCCAGGCGGCTAGACAGGCACCCGAGGGAGCCATGCATTGCTCGGGGCTAGAGCGCCAAGCTCTGAGTGCTGAGCTGGCTGTTCTCTGACAGCAGGGGGCGGTGGTGCACACCCCCGTGCTCCGGCCAGCCGCTGGGGCTGGGGCTCATGGGGGGACCCTACCTTTCTCGCTGAGCTCATAGGTCTGGATGATGGTGTGGGCATGCACCAGGTCAGCATCCTCGCCCTGGTCCTGCAGGAACGCCCCCAGCTCCTTGGCCGACAGCACGCAGTCCTGCCCCGAGTAGCGGTGGAACAGTTCCTCCAGCTCGGGCCGCTTCATCAGCAGGGTGCAGAACTCCTCGATCTCGTGCTCCTCCAGCCGGTCGTTGCTGGACTTATCGCACTCCTGGGGGGAGAGAAAGCCCAGCTCACACGCAGCCAGCCCCTCCCATCGGGAAGGCATCGAACAGCCTGGGATCAAAGCGGGGCCGCTGGAGCCCCCCGTGCCCTGCCCGAAGGAAAGGGGCTGGGGGCTGGACCAGACACAGCCACCCTGCTGGGTGCTGGGAGAGGAGTCTGGCGGGTCTCCGCTGCCCTTCTGTGGGACTTCCATGGCCCCGCAGTATCTGAGCACTCGCAGCCTAATGTCCTCACAGCCATGCAGGCCTGGAAGGCAGGGCAGAGTGCTCCCATCCCCCCCCCCCAAGCTCAGAGGGGAAACTGAGGCACTGAGAGGCTACATGACTGCGCAAGGCACACAGGGAGTCTGTGGCAGAGCAGAGCCTCGAACCCAGGTGTTCTAGGCTAGTGCCCTAATCACCAGCCCATCCTTCCTCCGCCTGGTTGCCAGGTGCCCACATCCCTAGAGAGGCAGCTGGGGCCTTGTCAGCAGCCAGGGCCAGAGTCTGAACTGCCCTTCTCCCTGGGGGGGCACCTCATAGGCTAGAGCAGGCCTGGGGGAGGGCATCTGCCTTCCTGCCAGGGCATCCCTGCTGTGCAGATCTGCAGGCCTTTGGGCCCCAGGACGGCCACGCAGGTACCTTCCCCTTCCCCATGGGCCTGATCCAAAGCCCCTCCACGCTCTCAGCGGGCACAGCCCCAGGCCCCAGTTCACCCCCCCACAGGGTGGCAGCCCAGCGCCCGCAGCAGGGAGGGGGTTTGTCAGGCCACTCGGTACTCGAGAGGGGAGGGGCCCAAGATCCTATGGACAGCGACATGCCCAGGGCAGGAGCAAAACAGGCCCTGCTGGGACCCTGGCTGGAATAACAGGGGGGCTGCAGGTCAGGACCGAGTGGCACCGGCCAAGCCCCGGGCGGGAGCCGCAGAGGGTGCTGGGGTCAGGCAGGGCTGAGCTGGGCAGGGTCTCAGGACTGGAAGAGCCGGGGGGCTGCAAGGCCCCGCTGAGGAGTATTGGCAGGGCGGGGGCAGGGCGGGGAGCAGGTCCTGGGGCTGGAAGAGCCGGGGGGCTGCAGTGAGGTGCAGCAGCAGAGCGGTGTGAGGATGTTGCCCCTGCCCGGCCCACGCCTGTGTAACCAGAGCTATCCGTCTGCCTGTACAAACACCACACGGGGCCACCTCATCTGGAGGGGGCACAGCACAGAGCAGCCTGCCAGCAGCGCCCCGTTTAACGCCTTGGACGGGCATTTCCGCCGCAGCCAGGCGCGCCAGAGCTGGGGGGTGCCTGGGGGTGGTGGCAGGCAGGGTCTCTGCTCCATTGCTGTTCAACAGGAGTGAGTTGTGAGCCGCTGCACGCAGGGCCAGGCTGGGAGACGAAGCCATAACCTCACAAGCTGTGGTGGGTGAGGCAACTCGCAGGAACCCGGGCGAGCCGGCGACCGAGTCTAAGCTGCCTGCGGACAGTCAGAACGGCCTGACACCAGGTGCCGCATGCCAGGACAGGCCATTTCATCCCCGTCTCGGGAGTTTCCGAGGAAGGAGCCTGATCTGATGGCCAGAGCTGGGAGCCAGGATGCCTGGGTTCTCCTCCTGCCCAGGAGGAGAGAAGCTCCATGCTCAAAGCAGGGGTATTACGAAGCCCTACAGCTGCAGGAACTTGGAGGAAGTGACCGACCCAAGGTCATGCAGTGAGTCAGTGGCAGAGCAGAGAACAGAGCCCAGGGCTGTATCTACACAGAGCCTCTCGCATACCCCGGCTCCGTCCGTGCTGGCATTCGTACCGAGCAGGTGGGTTTACAGCCTGGCACTTGGCCACTCGGTGACCTTTGGGCAGAGCACTCAACCCCTCGCCCTGGCCCTCCCTCACTGGGGCTGGGCTCCAGCTGCTGCGTTTGGAGCCAGGCTTGGATTTCGGGGCACCAAAGTGCATGGGTGGAAGTTCCTCTCTGCTGCAGTGCCTAACCTACCATGCTGTGCTCAGGCAAGCCCTGAGGGGAAGGGAGGTGCCACACCGCTCCCAAGAGCAGGCCTAGAGTCTGCACAAAGTCACCCTAGGGAACCTGCCCTGCTAGTCTGTGCAGAGCAGCCCAGAGCCAGCCGTACCCCAGCCTGGGCTGCTGCGCTCAGGGCGTGAGGCTCTAATTCTAGCTGGCCTGGCAGACAGGCTTTGGCATCGTGCACACACCCCTGCAGGCAGCAGCTCCCCTGCCCGGCGGGACGGCGGGGTCCAAACACAGTGCGGGAGTGCAGCAAGGGGACCCAGGAGGGACGCTCTGCCAAGTGGGGACGTGATTCTGACCCTCCCTTGGTAAAGCACCTGGAGATCTCCAGATGGAAGGGGCAGATCAAGGGGCCCTGGCTGTCGGCCCAAGGACAGACCGCCCCAGGGTGCTGTGGCCAGTGGTGGAAATTCCCGCCCACCCCGTTAAAGCTCCCTCCGCTTGTTTCCAGCAGGCCCCTCCCTGCTAAAGCAGCTGCTCTCAGCTGATGAACAGATGGCACCATGAGAAGCAGGGTGGTCCTGGGCGAGAACATGGAAATGGGGGGACCATGATTAAGCCCTCCGACCCAGGTCTTAAGAAACTTCTTCCCATTGACCCCCCTGGCGTCCAGGCCCCGCTGTGCTCAGGGTCTGCCTTTGCCAGCAGGAACACGGGTGGGAAACCAAACCCTGGAGCTGGGCTGGGAGCTCAGGGCAGGCTCTGGCCTGGAGGGGAAGGGTGGACGTGTGGCCACGGTGCTGGACGAGGACTCAGGAGACTGGGGCTCAGTTCCTGGCTCTGCCACTGACTCAGTGGCGTGACCTTGGCCAAGTCACAAAGGCCTGAAGTTTCCCAAGAACTTGGCAGGTTCTGAGCCCTTGTAACTCTCCCCCCATCAGGTGCCGCAAGGCCTGCACCCCCAGTGATGCTGATTTCCAGCACTGCTGGGAATGTTATTTACAACTGAGTTCGGTGGTGATGAAAGCAGCTGATTGGGCAAGTGGCTGCTGTGGGTGGGAGCCAGAGAACTGCTGGGAGTGACTCTGGATTCAGACCCCCACCTTCTCCTGAGCTCCTACCAGCTGAAGTTTTGCTCCCAAGACCAACTCCGCACAGCAAGCTGTGATTCATTTCACAAACAGCATCTCGCTGGCTGCGTGACCAGCGCCCAGCCAGCAGGGCACGGAATTCAGAGACCTCGTCCTGCAAGACTCATTCAGGGTATGTCTCCACTGCATGGACACACCGCGGCTCGCCCGTGACAGCTGGTCAGGCTCGGGGGCTGGTTAACTACAGTGTAGACATTTGGGCTTCGGTTGGAGCCCAGGCTCTGGGACCCTACAAGGGGCGACTGTAGGTCATCTGTGGCCACTGCTGACCTCACAGCTCCGAAGCCCTGGCCAGACGCCAGACTGGGGAATTCCAAATTCCCCCAGCGCTTTCTGTTGGAGACAGGATTCTCCTTCACTTGCTTCCTAAACTCCTGCCGTGTTGTTGTATGCTGATAGACTGTCGCCATGTTCCACCCCAGAGGTGGCTGCACCAGTGCACTGTGGTGGTCGGGCTCCGTTCTCTCCCACATGTATTGCAGGATCAAGCCTGGCCCAGGGGCAGCTTGTGACAGGCTCTGGGGACGTTCTGGGTAAAAGCAGCTCAGATCTTAGCAACCTGCTTCCCGAGGACAGCTGTGCTGCTCTGGGGGAGGCAGTGCGGCCTCGCAGCCCCAACATCCAACTGGCACCAGGAGTCCTGACAGTGACTCAGCATGTGGCCTTGGATAACACCTCACACCTCCATGCCTCAGTTTCCCCATCTGTTCCAGACACACACAGACAAGCTAGCTAACATGTGAGACGCTCAGGAGAAGCCACCTCCCCTGGGGAAAACGGGGGTAATAAACAGCCCACTGGACTGTAGACCCCAGCCCTGGCCACACACACACAGCTGCAGGTTGGAGCTTTCGGGCATGAATTCCGGGAGTGGATGTCGGGGTGGCTGGTGGCCCCAGGCAGCAGGTCTGTGCCTTGAGGCCCCTCCCTCCTCCTTGGCTTTGTTTGTGATTCCAAGGAACAGGCTCCGGTCCTGGAAGCAGCCCTGCCCACGCCCTGGTCCCTCTCTCTTGACTTCTGGTTGCTCCTGAGCACCTAATGGGACACAGGTTTCAGAGTAACAGCCGTGTTAGTCTGTATTCGCAAAAAGAAAAGGAGGACTTGTGGCACCTTAGAGACTAACTAATTTATTTGAGCATAAGCTTTTGTGAGCTACAGCTCACTTCATCGGATGCATCCTCCTTTTCTTAATGGGACACAGCTGTTCCTGGCGCTGCAGCAACAGGTGGGGCTGGGAATGTAACTGTTGGAACGAGCTGCTCTACTCCATCAGGCCTGCAGGGCTCACAGGCTGGCTGGGGTGGGGGGAAGCACAGGAGGGCCCTGATCCTGGTCCTGGCCCTGGCCCTGGCCCTGGCCCTACAGCCTATGACAAAGGTGTGACGAAGTGGGACTGTTCTTAATGTTTCCTCTGAATAGTGTGGGGGTGCCTCAGTTTCCCCAGGCAGTTCTTAAGTATCTAGGGGGTGGAGTAAGGGTGTATGATCATTGCAGAGCCCTAGAGGGCATGTGTGTGAAGGGGTCTGGACACAGAGAATGGCCGACACCCTGTTTCCTGGCAACTGATGGCCGGGCCCTTCCCCCCTGCAAGGTGAGAGCTGAAGGGTTGGAGAACAAAGGAATCAGGTGACCACCTGGCCCGGAAAGGAACAAAGCCCAGAGGAGGAGGGGCTGGAGGGAGTGTCAGTTTGGGGCTGGCTGGGACATGGAGTGAAGTGCAGACGTGGTTGTCTGGCTCACTACCCCCCAAAATGGACCCAGCTGAGGGGTCCCGTTCTCTGCACCTGCAAGCTCTGTGTTAGACCATGTTCCTGTCGTCTAATAAACCTTCTGTTTTACTGGCTGGCTGAGAGTCACGTCTGACTGTGAAGTTGGGGTGCAGGACCCTCTGGCTTCCCCAGGAGCCCCGCCTGAGCGGACTCGCTGTGGGAAGCGCACGGAGGGGCAGAGGATGCTGAATGCTCCGAGGTCAGACCCAGGAAGGTGGAAGCTGTGTGAGCTGTGTGTCCTGAAGACAGGCTGCTCACAGAAAGGCGACTGCCCCAGAGTCCTGACTGGCTTCATGGGGAGCAGTTCCAGAGCATCGCCCAGGGACTCCGTGACAACTGGTGGCAGCGGTGGGATGTACTGCACCCCGTGGATGGCGCTTCCTGCAGTAAGTGACTGGGGAGCAGTAACACGAAGGGGGATTGCCGAGGACTAGGCCTGCTGAAGGCTCAGAGAGGAGCGGTTTCGGGGGCGGTTAACCCCTGGGAGTGTGTGACCAGCGAGAAGGACTGTGCAGTAGCAGGGTTCCCCTGGGGATTGCAGCAAGCAGTCCAAGGGGCGGAGGAGTCTGCAGCTCGACCCTGGCAAAGAGGTGGTGACCTCGAGAAGGGCTGGCACACTAGGGGTTCTCCCTGGAAACCGTGGGGAGCTGAGAACACACGGGCCTGTGAGTCCACAACAACTTGGGAGGAGCGGAGTGATGGCCTGTCACTGTCTCCTTAAGAAGGACATTGTCACCCTGTGCAAAAAGAGAGGGTTGAGCGTTGGAAAGTGCACCAAAGCAGAGTTAATCGTGCAGCTGGAGGAGGATGACCGCTCTAAGGAACAGATTCCCTGACCCCAACTGGGGCTATAGCAGGATCTGGGAGCAGCTGAAGCGGGAGCCAGGCATCGCCAAGACTCCTGTCCCCGACCAGACGAGGGTCTTCACGATCGGGTTCCCCATCGGGGGATCGAGACGGACGGGATTGGAGCTGAGTCTGAGAGAGCAAGAGGACTGTGAGAGACAGCGAGAGCCCGAGAAAGAGCTGCAGAAGCAGCAGCAGCATGAACTGGCGGTGGGGGAGCGGAGAGGCCTAGGGGACCCCTCAGGGGTGAGTGGGGATAGACCCCCGGGGGCCAGTTCCGCAGGGAACCTCGAGACTAAATTGCTGCCCCTGGTTAAGGGGGGGGTTGGATGCCCACCCTCACTGCCTTTGAGCAGGCTGGCGATTTGAACCAAGGGGACCCTGCGGAAAAGCCCCGGTGTCTAGCTCCCCTTGCTGGGTCCCAAGGCCTTAGACTCCGTCAGCCAGATGGTTGCGGATGTGGACAGGCTCCCACTCCTGACCCCAACCTATATGTCTGTGTGGAGTTTCCTGGGGCCAGGCCCCCCGGACCTCCAGTGGGAGCAGAAGGTGATGGTCAATGGGGAGACATTCTTGGGGTGGCCAAAGGGCATGGGCTGCATAAACCTTCCCACATGCGGCCTGCAAGTGCTATCGACCACCCCTGACCTAAGGGAGGGCGTGAAACTGGAAGGGCCTGGTGTAACTCCTACCAAGGAATGGGAGAGATGCTGGGGCATCCATGGGAATGTTGGTGGCTTCGAACTTCCCCAGGTCACCGCTAAAGTGACCCCGCTCAGTTCGATCTCGAAGGGGGAGAGATGTGACGAAGTGGGACTGTTCTTAATGTTTCCTCTGAATAGTGTGGGGGTGCCTCAGTTTCCCCAGGCAGTTCTTAAGTATCTAGGGGGTGGAGTAAGGGTGTATGATCATTGCAGAGCCCTAGAGGGCATGTGTGGAAGGGGTCTGGACACAGAGAATGGCCGACACCCTGTTTCCTGGCAACTGATGGCCGGGCCCTTCCCCCCTGCAAGGTGAGAGCTGAAGGGTTGGAGAACAAAGGAATCAGGTGACCACCTGGCCCGGGAAAGGAACAAAGCCCAGAGGAGGAGGGGCTGGAGGGAGTGTCAGTTTGGGGCTGGCTGGGACATGGAGTGAAGTGCAGACGTGGTTGTCTGGCTCACTACCCCCCAAAATGGACCCAGCTGAGGGGTCCCGTTCTCTGCACCTGCAAGCTCTGTGTTAGACCATGTTCCTGTCGTCTAATAAACCTTCTGTTTTACTGGCTGGCTGAGAGTCACGTCTGACTGTGAAGTTGGGGTGCAGGACCCTCTGGCTTCCCCAGGAGCCCCGCCTGAGCGGACTCGCTGTGGGAAGCGCACGGAGGGGCAGAGGATGCTGAATGCTCCGAGGTCAGACCCAGGAAGGTGGAAGCTGTGTGAGCTGTGTGTCCTGAAGACAGGCTGCTCACAGAAAGGCGACTGCCCCAGAGTCCTGACTGGCTTCATGGGGAGCAGTTCCAGAGCATCGCCCAGGACTCCGTGACAAAAGGCGCTCACAGATGCACTGAGTCTGACAGTTCTCTGACAGTGGGATCGGAGGCTCTGCCTCACTTGGCTTGGCTGGACTCAGGACCTTGCTGTAGGTGCTGGGCAAGCGTCCCCGTGTTGGACCCAGAGACCTCGCTCCCAGACTCTGAAACGAGATCAGCAGCAGCCCCTCTGCAGCCAGGGGAAGTTCGCACCTGGGTCAGAACTCTGCAGACTGGGCCCACGCAGCCCTTGCCACCTAGGGTCCTATGGGTGAGAGGCACAGGCTGGTGCCATCCCCTCTGTGACGCCCTCCCCAGGGCCAACCTTACAGGGGGGCAAGGAGCGGGGTGGGGCTGGGGTGTGAGGCCATGGAAGAGAGCTCAGGGCAATGCGGGGGAGGCAGCAGGACCCAGGGGTGATGGGGGGAGAGGCAGTGGGGACCAGGGAGGATGGATGCGGAGCCCTGGGAGGTGGGGGGGGCCAGCGGCGATGGAGGGATGGGGGGGCCGTGGGAGGCAGGGGGGCCCAGCGGCGTTGGAGGGATGGGGGGGCTTGGGAGGCAGTGGGGGCCAGATTGATGGGGGTTGGGGGAAGCAGGCGGGACCAGGGGCAGTGGACGGATGGGCGGCACTGTTCCCTCTAAGCCGTGCGCGTGTGTGTGCGTGCACACAGATCCTAAACCCCACGCACACGGCGAAACATCGCGCACACAACAGTTTGCACAGAAGACATTTTTTGCACACACGGCCTGTCAAAAATTAGAAGGAACATTGATGGGTGGTGGGGGGCAATGGAGGGATGGGTGGGGGCCGGGGAGGCAGGGCGAGCCAGGGCGATAGAGAGATTGAATGAATGGACTATAAGGTGGATAGAAAGCTGGCTAAATTGTCGGGCTCAACGGGTAGTGATCAATGGCTCCATGTCTAGTTGGCAGCCGGTATCTAGTGGAGTGCCCCAGGGGTCAGTCCTGGGGCCGGTTTTGTTCAATATCTTCATAAATGATCTGGATGATGGCATGGATTGCACCCTCAGCAAGTTCGCAGATGACACTAAACTGGGGGGAGAGGTAGATACGCTGGAGGGTAGGGATAGGATACAGAGGGACCTAGACAAATTGGAGGATTGGGCCAAAAGAAATCTGAGGAGGTTCAACAAGGACAAGTGCAGAGACCTGTACCTAGGACAGAAGAATCCCATGCACCGCTACAGACTAGGGACCGAATGGCTCGGCAGCAGTTCTGCAGAAAAGGACCTAGGGGTTACAGTGGACGAGAAGCTGGATATGAGTCAGCACTGAGCCCTTGTTGCCAAGAAGGCTAACGGCAGATTGGGCTGCATTAGTGGGGGCATTGCCAGCAGATCGAGAGAAGTGATTATTCCCCTCTATTCGGCACTGATGAGGCCACATCTGGAGTACTGCGTCCAGTTTTGGACCCCCCACTACAGAAAGGACGTGGACAAATTGGAGAGTCCAGCGGAGGGCAACAAAAATGGTCAGGGCGCTGAGGCACACAACTTACGAGGAGAGGCTGAGGGAACTGGGGATGTTTAGTCTGCAGAAGAGAAGAATGAGGGGGGATTTGATAGCTGCTTTCAACTACCTGAAGGGGGTTTCCAGAGAGGATGGATCTAGACTGTTCTCAGTGGTAGCAGATGACAGAACGAGGAGTAATGGTCTCAAGTTGCAGTGGGGGAGGTCTAGGTTGGATATTAGGAAACACTTTTTCACTAGGAGGGTGGTGAAGCACTGGAATGCGTTACCTAGGGAGGTGGTGGAATCTCCATCCTGAGAGGTTTTTAAGGCCCGGCTTGACAAAGCCCTGGCTGGGATGATTTAGTTGGGGATTGGTCCTGCTTTGAGCAGGGGGTTGGACTAGATGACCTCCTGAGGTCTCTTCTAACCCTAATCTTCTATGAATCTATGATGGGTGGCAGTTGGGGGAGGCAGTGGGGGCCAGGGGCGATGGAGGGAGGGTGGGGGGCCAGAATGCTAAATAACAAAGTTCACCCAGGGCCCCATTTTCCCTAAGACTGGCTTTGCCCCTCCCACCAGAGACACGGTTCCCCTGGGGGGCGCGGTAGTGGGCACAGCAGCAGGGGGGTGGTACCTGGAAGAGCTGGTAGGCGTAGATGTCATTCATGTCGATATTGATCATCTTCAGCATGTCCTTGATCTCCTTGAAGGTCATCTTGTTGTCCTTGTTCTTGTCGGCTCGGTGCAGGATGTCATGGATCCAGATGCAGGAGATGTAAGGAAGGAACGCGGGTGACAGACTCCCGGTGCCCCCTCCCCACAAAGACCCCTCTAGGCCAGGCCTGCCTGGGGCTGTAATGAACTGGGGGGTGTGATGAGTTCACTCCTGTCTTTGCCCAGGATGGGGCCGAGGTTGACTCCAAAGGCCTGACCCAAAGACCCTGCAGCCAGTGAAAATGGGAAGGGCTTTGAGCAGAGGAGACCTGGCTTCCCTGCTGTGCCCCGCAGCAGCTGTCCCGCTCCCAGCGCCCCCAGGCAGTCCCAGCCCCCTGCGCAGCTGCCTGATGGTGGTGCTATATCATCCAGTCATTTCACACACAGCTAGTGCCCCAGGGTAGCTCGTACAACAAAACCTACAGCTGCTAGGCGGTGGAGGGTTTTCCTGTGCTATATGCATGAGCCCTCCATGCCAGGGCTCAGTGTTTGCACAAGGGGCCCTATCCTCACTCCCTTTATGCTGGGGGCATGAGGGGCAGAGAGGGGATGTGCCCTACACCAGGACATGACACAGCCAGGAACAGATTCCTGCCCCTGCCTCCTAGCCTCGCGGCTGATCTGCCTCACCCGGCTTCCTCCTGGTACATCACTAGGGCTTTGCGAGCCACAGGTGGGCAGCGCTATGTGGGGAGAAAGCATCAGCCTGTAGCCAGGCACAGGGCTGGGGGACAGCTCTGCCATGCCGCCCCTCCAGCCCACCTGGCAGACGAATGAGACAGTCACGCTGCGTGCTTGGACCAGCAAGTTGTGTGGGGCAGGGCTGGAGGGTCATCGTGCAGCCTGCCCTGTGCGCTTAGCCCAGACATGTTTCCACTCCAGGAGCTGTGGCCAGGGCTGGGCCCGTTTGTAGGGTCAGTTACTGTCTGGGAGCCCTAGTAGTGCAGGACGGGGCATTTCTGGCCAGGCGCTCAGGGCCATTGACCCTGCTGGCCGGGGTCGGGCCTGGCTTGCTTGGGCTACGTGCAAAGAGACAGACCCTGGGCAGCGGCCCCATGTCACCTAACAGCAGGCTGGAACCCCAGACCTGAGCCACCCCGCCCATCCTCCATCGCGGCTCTGCCCAGCCCCATGCGCAGGCGACGGACCCCAGGAACAGGGGGAGCCGAGCCCTGCCGGTCAATGGAAAGGATATTGATCAAGCTTCTCTTGCTGGCTCATGGCTTCCACCTTGGCCATCAGCTTCTTCAGCCCCTGGGCCCACCTCTTCGCCTCCTCCTCACTCTGGGCAGCCAGATCCAGGTTCTTCCGCCGGCCCTTGAAGACGATGGTGAGGCACTGGGTCTCCGGGAAGAAACTGCCGTGCTTGCGGAGCCCCTCGGACTGGTAGCCCTCCCGCACGCCGTCCACCTGCATGATGGGGACTGCACGAGACAAGGCCCAGCAACGGGGATGCGGTCAGAGTCCTGTGCTGTGCCTGGCCCACTCGCTTCTGGGCTTTGGCCTCTCTTCCCTGCCTCCCTCTAGCCGGCTGAGAGGCCTTGAGAGCCGGCCTACCGGCCAGTGGGGCCCAGCCACCAACGGGGCCCAAGAGAGTATCACAGAGCGGCACGTTTCAGGTGATCAGTGAAACCCTCCAGCCCCCACTCCATGGCTGTGCTCGGGGGGCTGAAAGGGAGGGGAAGGGGTCCCCCAACATATGCACCAATGACTAGCCTGCCCTGGCATCCCTCGCCCCATTATCTTGGCCTTGTCCCATATGTTCTGTTCCCTCCCTAAACCACAGCCAAGAATGTCTCCCTTCCCCCATTCCTCTCCTCCCCAGGAACTCTGCCCCGTTCCCCGTCCCTAGCAGGGAACTCAAGCCAATTCTTGCTTGAGGGTCTGAAATGCTCAGCTAAGTTGATGGAGATTTTCCATCTCATTGCCAGCTGAGGGCTCCTGGGCCCAAACCAACAACCCCAATCCAGCCCTGCAACCCCTGGGGAAAGCTTGGCTCCACCTTCGCTGCTGGCCCATTTTTATTACAGGCAAATCCCCAACCCCCAGCTGGGCCTGGCCACTGGGGTCCCACCGGGCCTGGGGGACTTGTTCCTGTAGGGCTGCCAGCACCAAGCGGGGAGAGTTCAGAGAGCCCTGATCTGGTGTGTCTCCAGCTCGTCCTTCAGGGCAGCTCTGCACAGGTGCCTGCCTCTAGGGCCAGGGAAATCTGAACATGCCCAAATGGGGCCATGAAGGCTGGTAAAATCAGAGCCAGGATTGCAGCAGAGCTCAGGTTTCCAAGGGTCCAGCCCCCATCCCGGGGGCAGACGGTCAAAGCAGCAAGGCTCCCAACGTGCCGAGCCCTTGGAAAGGGCAACCCCGGGCCAACGTGTGCCTTCCACAGCACACGCTGGTTCCACGTTGTTTGGAGCCCGAACCCGGCAGCTCAGCTCCGAGGTCTGGGGAGACTCACCCGCAGCAGCAGCAGCGAGCTTGGCCTGTCTAGCCCCGCTCTGCAGCGCCGGCTGTCAGTGGCATGTCCCTGCCCTCTCGGGGCGCGTGGGAGCGAGCTGGGAGGGAGCCCTGCTAGCGGGCACAGAGCAGTGGAGCTGAGGTGGCGCGAGCGGCAGGAGGGGTTAGCCACCCCGAGTATCTGCCTAGGGCCTTGTACAGGATCGGACCAGGCACTGGCCCCTCCTGCCGCTCACCTCACCACAGCTGCACAGCCGTGGTCAGCGTGCTGGCTCGCTCCGCTGTCTCCTGGCGTGCGGACTCCCCCCAGATCCAGGGCAGACACGCCTTTACCTGCGCAGCAAACGGCAGCGCCACGGGCAGCATGTTCCCAAGGGCTCGGTGCCGTGGCCAGGGCTCTCAGGAGAGCTGGGCACACGCTGGGAGCTGAGCTCTTTGGAGTGAATGGCCCCAGCCCTCGTTGCTCTGTTCAGTAAGGACCTGCCAGGGCCCGTGCTTGGTACATTCCAGGAGCAGGGGCCTTAAGACCCACCCACCAAGCTGCCCTTCTCCAGAGACAGCTGAGATGAAGGCCGTAACCCTATCTGCTGGGGTGCCATCTTATGGGGCTCTTGCAAACTGTCCTCCTCCCACCTGCTCTCTGCGGACTCTCTCAAGACGATGCTGTGAGGTGCTGAGCGCCCTCCGCTCCCCAGGACTTCGCAGCATCAGGCGGCCAGATTTGACAAGAACTCGGCCCGCTGGGTGCTGAGCTCTTGTGAAATGTTGGCCCAGCTAGTGGGTGCTGACACACGACAATCTGACCCCCAGGAGCTTAGTCAGCAGGTGGATGCTGGTCAGCAGCGTCCGACTACACCCAGTGCTCATGTGCAGAGGCAGGAGGAGCAGCCGCGGGCTGAGTGTGACGGGCAGCTGAGCCAGGGTCTGTATCCTATTCCTGGCTCTCGTTAGCATTTTATTTAATCAGCAGTGGATCTAGCCTATTGGCTGTGTTTCTTCTGGGTGTCTTAATACCAGAAGGGCACAGGTAACATAGGGGGAATTCAGCAAAACAAAGATCTGAGGAGCTAGAGAGACATTTAACAGACCCAAGTCAGCCTGCAAATGCGTCTCTGGCTGTTTCACTTTGTGCATGTGGGACAGGCCCGTGGGGACACATGGAAGATGGAGCCCTGGATGAACAAAGCAGTGTGGGAACTTCTGCAGGGAAGGCCCTGGCCCTGGGAGCAGGGAACTGGGTGAGCAGCAGTTCTGCAGAAAAGGAGCTGGGGATTACACTGGACGAGAAGCTGGATATGAGTCAGCAGTGTGCCCTTGTTGCCAAGAAGGCCAATGGCATTTTGGGATGTATAAGTAGGGGCATAGCGAGCAGATCGAGGGACGTGATCGTTCCCCTCTATTCGACATTGGTGAGGCCTCATCTGGAGTACTGTGTCCAGTTTTGGGCCCCACACTACAGAAAGGATGTGGACAAATTGGAAAGTCCAGCGGAGGGCAACGAAAATGATCAGGGGGCTGGGGCACATGACTTACGAGGAGAGGCTGAGGGAACTGGGGATGTTTAGTCTGCAGAAGAGAAGAATGAGGGGGATTTGATAGCTGCTTTCAACTACCTGAAGGGGGTTTCCAGAGAGGATGGATCTAGACTGTTCTCAGTGGTAGCAGATGACAGAACGAGGAGTAATGGTCTCAAGTTGCAGTGGGGGAGGTCTAGGTTGGATATTAGGAAACACTTTTTCACTAGGAGGGTGGTGAAGCACTGGAATGCGTTACCTAGGGAGGTGGTGGAATCTCCATCCTGAGAGGTTTTTAAGGCCCGGCTTGACAAAGCCCTGGCTGGGATGATTTAGTTGGGGATTGGTCCTGCTTTGAGCAGGGGGTTGGACTAGATGACCTCCTGAGGTCTCTTCTAACCCTAATCTTCTATGAATCTATGATGGGTGGCAGTTGGGGGAGGCAGTGGGGGCCAGGGGCGATGGAGGGAGGGTGGGGGGCCAGAATGCTAAATAACAAAGTTCACCCAGGGCCCCATTTTCCCTAAGACTGGCTTTGCCCCTCCCACCAGAGACACGGTTCCCCTGGGGGGCGCGGTAGTGGGCACAGCAGCAGGGGGGTGGTACCTGGAAGAGCTGGTAGGCGTAGATGTCATTCATGTCGATATTGATCATCTTCAGCATGTCCTTGATCTCCTTGAAGGTCATCTTGTTGTCCTTGTTCTTGTCGGCTCGGTGCAGGATGTCATGGATCCAGATGCAGGAGATGTAAGGAAGGAACGCGGGTGACAGACTCCCGGTGCCCCCTCCCCACAAAGACCCCTCTAGGCCAGGCCTGCCTGGGGCTGTAATGAACTGGGGGTGTGATGAGTTCACTCCTGTCTTTGCCCAGGATGGGGCCGAGGTTGACTCCAAAGGCCTGACCCAAAGACCCTGCAGCCAGTGAAAATGGGAAGGGCTTTGAGCAGAGGAGACCTGGCTTCCCTGCTGTGCCCCGCAGCAGCTGTCCCGCTCCCAGCGCCCCCAGGCAGTCCCAGCCCCCTGCGCAGCTGCCTGATGGTGGTGCTATATCATCCAGTCATTTCACACACAGCTAGTGCCCCAGGGTAGCTCGTACAACAAAACCTACAGCTGCTAGGCGGTGGAGGGTTTTCCTGTGCTATATGCATGAGCCCTCCATGCCAGGGCTCAGTGTTTGCACAAGGGGCCCTATCCTCACTCCCTTTATGCTGGGGGCATGAGGGGCAGAGAGGGGATGTGCCCTACACCAGGACATGACACAGCCAGGAACAGATTCCTGCCCCTGCCTCCTAGCCTCGCGGCTGATCTGCCTCACCCGGCTTCCTCCTGGTACATCACTAGGGCTTTGCGAGCCACAGGTGGGCAGCGCTATGTGGGGAGAAAGCATCAGCCTGTAGCCAGGCACAGGGCTGGGGGACAGCTCTGCCATGCCGCCCCTCCAGCCCACCTGGCAGACGAATGAGACAGTCACGCTGCGTGCTTGGACCAGCAAGTTGTGTGGGGCAGGGCTGGAGGGTCATCGTGCAGCCTGCCCTGTGCGCTTAGCCCAGACATGTTTCCACTCCAGGAGCTGTGGCCAGGGCTGGGCCCGTTTGTAGGGTCAGTTACTGTCTGGGAGCCCTAGTAGTGCAGGACGGGGCATTTCTGGCCAGGCGCTCAGGGCCATTGACCCTGCTGGCCGGGGTCGGGCCTGGCTTGCTTGGGCTACGTGCAAAGAGACAGACCCTGGGCAGCGGCCCCATGTCACCTAACAGCAGGCTGGAACCCCAGACCTGAGCCACCCCGCCCATCCTCCATCGCGGCTCTGCCCAGCCCCATGCGCGGCGACGGACCCCAGGAACAGGGGAGCCGAGCCCTGCCGGTCAATGGAAAGGATATTGATCAAGCTTCTCTTGCTGGCTCATGGCTTCCACCTTGGCCATCAGCTTCTTCAGCCCCTGGGCCCACCTCTTCGCCTCCTCCTCACTCTGGGCAGCCAGATCCAGGTTCTTCCGCCGGCCCTTGAAGACGATGGTGAGGCACTGGGTCTCCGGGAAGAAACTGCCGTGCTTGCGGAGCCCCTCGGACTGGTAGCCCTCCCGCACGCCGTCCACCTGCATGATGGGGACTGCACGAGACAAGGCCCAGCAACGGGGATGCGGTCAGAGTCCTGTGCTGTGCCTGGCCCACTCGCTTCTGGGCTTTGGCCTCTCTTCCCTGCCTCCCTCTAGCCGGCTGAGAGGCCTTGAGAGCCGGCCTACCGGCCAGTGGGGCCCAGCCACCAACGGGGCCCAAGAGAGTATCACAGAGCGGCACGTTTCAGGTGATCAGTGAAACCCTCCAGCCCCCACTCCATGGCTGTGCTCGGGGGGCTGAAAGGGAGGGGAAGGGGTCCCCCAACATATGCACCAATGACTAGCCTGCCCTGGCATCCCTCGCCCCATTATCTTGGCCTTGTCCCATATGTTCTGTTCCCTCCCTAAACCACAGCCAAGAATGTCTCCCTTCCCCCATTCCTCTCCTCCCCAGGAACTCTGCCCCGTTCCCCGTCCCTAGCAGGGAACTCAAGCCAATTCTTGCTTGAGGGTCTGAAATGCTCAGCTAAGTTGATGGAGATTTTCCATCTCATTGCCAGCTGAGGGCTCCTGGGCCCAAACCAACAACCCCAATCCAGCCCTGCAACCCCTGGGGAAAGCTTGGCTCCACCTTCGCTGCTGGCCCATTTTTATTACAGGCAAATCCCCAACCCCCAGCTGGGCCTGGCCACTGGGGTCCCACCGGGCCTGGGGGACTTGTTCCTGTAGGGCTGCCAGCACCAAGCGGGGAGAGTTCAGAGAGCCCTGATCTGGTGTGTCTCCAGCTCGTCCTTCAGGGCAGCTCTGCACAGGTGCCTGCCTCTAGGGCCAGGGAAATCTGAACATGCCCAAATGGGGCCATGAAGGCTGGTAAAATCAGAGCCAGGATTGCAGCAGAGCTCAGGTTTCCAAGGGTCCAGCCCCCATCCCGGGGGCAGACGGTCAAAGCAGCAAGGCTCCCAACGTGCCGAGCCCTTGGAAAGGGCAACCCCGGGCCAACGTGTGCCTTCCACAGCACACGCTGGTTCCACGTTGTTTGGAGCCCGAACCCGGCAGCTCAGCTCCGAGGTCTGGGGAGACTCACCCGCAGCAGCAGCAGCGAGCTTGGCCTGTCTAGCCCCGCTCTGCAGCGCCGGCTGTCAGTGGCATGTCCCTGCCCTCTCGGGGCGCGTGGGAGCGAGCTGGGAGGGAGCCCTGCTAGCGGGCACAGAGCAGTGGAGCTGAGGTGGCGCGAGCGGCAGGAGGGGTTAGCCACCCCGAGTATCTGCCTAGGGCCTTGTACAGGATCGGACCAGGCACTGGCCCCTCCTGCCGCTCACCTCACCACAGCTGCACAGCCGTGGTCAGCGTGCTGGCTCGCTCCGCTGTCTCCTGGCGTGCGGACTCCCCCCAGATCCAGGGCAGACACGCCTTTACCTGCGCAGCAAACGGCAGCGCCACGGGCAGCATGTTCCCAAGGGCTCGGTGCCGTGGCCAGGGCTCTCAGGAGAGCTGGGCACACGCTGGGAGCTGAGCTCTTTGGAGTGAATGGCCCCAGCCCTCGTTGCTCTGTTCAGTAAGGACCTGCCAGGGCCCGTGCTTGGTACATTCCAGGAGCAGGGGCCTTAAGACCCACCCACCAAGCTGCCCTTCTCCAGAGACAGCTGAGATGAAGGCCGTAACCCTATCTGCTGGGGTGCCATCTTATGGGGCTCTTGCAAACTGTCCTCCTCCCACCTGCTCTCTGCGGACTCTCTCAAGACGATGCTGTGAGGTGCTGAGCGCCCTCCGCTCCCCAGGACTTCGCAGCATCAGGCGGCCAGATTTGACAAGAACTCGGCCCGCTGGGTGCTGAGCTCTTGTGAAATGTTGGCCCAGCTAGTGGGTGCTGACACACGACAATCTGACCCCCAGGAGCTTAGTCAGCAGGTGGATGCTGGTCAGCAGCGTCCGACTACACCCAGTGCTCATGTGCAGAGGCAGGAGGAGCAGCCGCGGGCTGAGTGTGACGGGCAGCTGAGCCAGGGTCTGTATCCTATTCCTGGCTCTCGTTAGCATTTTATTTAATCAGCAGTGGATCTAGCCTATTGGCTGTGTTTCTTCTGGGTGTCTTAATACCAGAAGGGCACAGGTAACATAGGGGGAATTCAGCAAAACAAAGATCTGAGGAGCTAGAGAGACATTTAACAGACCCAAGTCAGCCTGCAAATGCGTCTCTGGCTGTTTCACTTTGTGCATGTGGGACAGGCCCGTGGGGACACATGGAAGATGGAGCCCTGGATGAACAAAGCAGTGTGGGAACTTCTGCAGGGAAGGCCCTGGCCCTGGGAGCAGGGAACTGGGTGAGCAGCAGTTCTGCAGAAAAGGAGCTGGGGATTACACTGGACGAGAAGCTGGATATGAGTCAGCAGTGTGCCCTTGTTGCCAAGAAGGCCAATGGCATTTTGGGATGTATAAGTAGGGGCATAGCGAGCAGATCGAGGGACGTGATCGTTCCCCTCTATTCGACATTGGTGAGGCCTCATCTGGAGTACTGTGTCCAGTTTTGGGCCCCACACTACAGAAAGGATGTGGACAAATTGGAAAGTCCAGCGGAGGGCAACGAAAATGATCAGGGGGCTGGGGCACATGACTTATGAGGAGAAACAGAGGGAACTGGGCTTATTTAGTCTGCAGAAGAGAAGAGTGAGGGGGGATTTGATAGCAGCCTCCAACTACCTGAAGGGGGGGTTCCAAAGGGGATGGAGCTCGGCTCTTCTCAGTGGTAGCAGATGACAGGACAAGGAGTAATGGTCTCAAGTTGCAGTGGGGGAGGTTTAGGTTGGATATTAGGAAACACTATTTCACTAGGAGGGTGGTGACACACTGGAGTCGGTTCCCTAGGGAGGTGGTAGAATCTCCTTCCTTAGAGGTTTTTAAGGGCCGGCTTGACAAAGCCCTGGCTGGGATTATTTAGTTGGGGTTGGTCCTGCTTTGAGCAGGGGGTTGGACTAGATGACCTCCTGAGGTCTCTTCTAACCCTGATCTTCTATGATTCTATGACATAATGGGTCTATGACATAATGGGTATGATTTAATCTCTAATTTCTGTCGTTCTAATCCCAGGCCAGACAGAGCCCATGTAAGCGTAGGATTTGCTGTCTCCAACAGAGACACTGACAGCAGTTGCTGTTGTGAAGCATCAGAGCAGTGTCTAGGGTCGCCATGTCCAGGATCGAGGAGGAGATATCTCTGTTCACCCAGAAATCAAACCCAATGCTTTTGATGGGGGAGAGGGAGGGGTTTCTGAGCAGAGTGAGGGACCTTCATGACTGGGAGGTAAAGGATGAAAATGCACCTTAAACCTGTTACCCGTGTCTGCTGTCCTGCCAGGAACAGAAACAGGAGCCTGGAGCTGAGAACCTGCTCGGCTCATCACACTGGAAGGCATGCAGCTGGATTTTACAGGGCTCCAGACTTGAGCCAGTTAAGTTCTGTGCTTGGGTGGGTGAATCTGGATTCCAGGTTCTATGCTGGGGGTTCTAGGTTCTGTGCTGGGTGGGGTTTTATGTTCTAGTTTCTGGCCTCAGGTTCTAGGTTATGTGCTCTACATTATGCATTGGGCGGAGCATTGGGTTGTAAAATTTGCATTGGTTGGGGGTTAGGTTCTAGGTCGGTGGGTGGGAGGGGTTCTCGGTTCTGTGTTGGAGGTGGGTTGGGTTCTAGGTTCTGAACTGGGATCTGGATTTCTTGTTTCCAGGAGTATTTGTGCCCCTGAGCCTCAGCCACTGGGACTTACAGATCTGCTTGGAGCGAGCCCGTTTAAAGCAGCTCTCAGACAAGATGGTCAAGCCGTCCTCCTGCAAGCGGTAGAACCGCTCCGTCTTCCGTCTGCGTGACTTGATCTTCCAGAGAAAGGAGCCCTTCAGCATCACCTTGATGTCTTCATCATCTGTCAGGCCTGCAGGGAGCAAAGGGAAAGAACCCATCAAGTCCCGCAAGGCCACCACTTCTGCGGCAAGGCTAGTAACGCGGCTGCCAGTGCAGTGTCACTCTGCAAGTAGCCAGCTGGCCCGCCCGCCCGGTGCCTGAGGTTTGCCAGCTGACCCGGGCCCTGTGAGAAAGGAGCGTGAGGGGCATCTGTCCACTGCAGTCAGCGTTCTGTCCTGCCTTGCAGGGAACCAATGTCCCTAACCAACGAACACACAAACACCAGCTCAAAGGCATGGGCAGCATCCACTCTAGATGCGGGGGGCCTCCCGTTCCATCCAACCCAGGTGCCTACAGCCTGCGCTCACGCAAATTCTCGTCTAACGACAGTAGAGGTCGTACACCCACACTGTCCTCAGCTGCACTCGCTCGTGCTCTCTCTCTCACACACACGCGCGTTGTCCACAGCTGATCTCTCACACACATGGCCTCACAATGGTCTCGAGCATCACACAACTGGAACGTTGCCAGGGTTTGCTACTGAGATGGCAACCCTTGGTGTGTCTCCCTGGCTCGCTGATCGTGTGGGCATCAGCCCAGAAAGCTCCATGTGTTAATCAGTGGACGGGTCCAGGTAACGTTCCTGCAGGAGAAACGTGAATCGGAAGCTGGGCCATGGCAGGCAAGTCAAGGAGAAACGGCGTTAACAGCTCTTTGCTCTTCGATAGCACCTTGCAGAGCAGAACCTCGCTGCACTTCATAAACAGTACGGATTTTAGTCTCACACCACCCCTGTGAGGTAGCTCCCCATGTTATCCATGTGGAAACTGAGGCCCAGAGGGGCAGTGACTTACCCAAGGCAACCAGCAGGTAAATGGCAGAGCCAGAAATAGAACCCAGGCATCCTGACTTTGTTACGAATTATACCTGACAGGTCACACACAGTTCGAGTCTAGGCTGAGGCACACGAACAAAGTCCACAACTGCGGAGTTCCCAAAGATACTAAGTTTATTACGCTCGAGTGTGGTGCCTCCCTCCTAATCAGGAGGGGACCCCGCATGCAGGTTATACAAAGATTATATACCTTTTAGCAAAGCATGTTGCCCTCGTGCATCAGAAACCTTAGCCAATAGACAAACCCTTCCCTTATCTACCACCTATCCCGGCTAGGTACATTCCCCGTGCTAAACCATGACTTTAACTACATTAGCTGGTCCTAAAGCCATGCATCTGTAACTTTTCTTATCAGGATGGGAGGCCCACATCAAGGCCAGGAGGCAGGGAGTTAGGAACAGACGAAGAACAGAAACCGGGAGTCGAGACAGGCTGGAAACAAGGGGGGGTTTCTCACAGGAATGCAGTATCTAAGGAGCACTCCTCCTGGTGTACGATGTGTTTGCTTTTAGACAATGGTGGGCCCCAAACCAAAATGGAGTCACACGTGCTAACTTTTCCTTTAACAACTTCCAGCCCCCATTACTACAACTACTAGACACTGCTCCCCTCCCAGAACCAAGAATGGAGCCAGATCCCCAGTCCTTCGGCTCGAACCCTCACTCCCCTCCCAGAACCAAGAATGGAGCCAGATCCCCAGTCCTTCGGCTCGAACCCTCACTCCCCTCCCAGAACCAAGAATGGAGCCAGATCCCCAGTCCTTCGGCTCGAACCCTCACTCCCCTCCCAGAACTGGAAGTGGAACCCAGGTGTCCTGATTCCTAGGACCCCTGCTCTCACCTTAGACCCCACTCCCTCCCTTAAATACCTTGAGCCAAATTCACTGACGCCTGAGGCCTTGTGAACATGAGCATGTTGCAGGAGCAGCAGGGTGAACTGGAACCAGTGCAGAGCTCGGGGCGCACACTCGCTTCAGCAGGAAAAAGCCTCTTCCAGTGCAGTGTGCATCCGCTGGGAAGAGGTTTAAGTGAAACCGACACAAGCTTCTCTTAAACTGAAATAAGCGCACACAGGTGAGCTGCCCAGGAGCTACCTGCTAGTCTGAGGGACCTGCCTGGCCCCCATCACCACAGGGTCTGAGCCCCTCAAAGCTTTAAGGTATTTATCCTCACACACCCCAGTGAGGTCAGGCAGTGCTATGACCCCCATTGTACAGATGGGGAAGGGAGACACAGAGAAGTTAAGGAACTTGCCCATGGTTACGCAGGCAGTCTGTGGCAGAGCTGGGAATTGTGCCCCAGGCTCATGGCCTAGCCACGGGGCCATTCTTCCTCTCACCTACATTGGTTTGGAAACCACTTGAAGCGAAGCAGCTGCAACTTTCCCATGCAGCCAATGCCGAAGGGGCTGCATCTCAACTGAAATCAATGGAATTTCACCTCTTACACCTGTGGCCAGGTCCAGTCCCTTTCTCTACAACAGGGGTCTCAAACTTCCTTGCACCATGACCCCCTTCTGACAACAAAAATTGCTACACGACCCCAGGACGGGGGAACAAAGCCTGAGCCCTGCCACTGCAGGCAGGGGGGCCAGAGCCAAAGCCAGAGCCCCACTGCTCTTGGCGGGGTGGAAGGGCGGCAAAGCCGAATCCCAAGGGCTTCTTCCCCAGGCCTGTAACCTGAGTCCCATCCCCTCACTCAGGGCTGAAGCCCTTGGGCTTTGGCCCCGGGTAGTGGGGCTCAGGCTTCGGCCCTGGGGATGAAGCCCTTGGGATTCTAAGAGAGACTGGCTCAAGCTCTGAAGCAGGAGGGTTAATATCCCTGCCAGAATTTTTGCTAGCAATAATTAGGATAACTCATGATTTTCTGGTATCCATGGAAATATCCAAGCCTCTTTTGAATCTTGCGACGTTCCTGGCATCAGGGGTTTCTGTGGCAGTGAGTTCCACAGGCTAAATAACTGTTGTGTGGAAAAGCGTTTCCCTCGGTCAGTGTTAAGAATAGTGTCCGAATCTGTTTCCGACAGAGCTTTGTGCCTTGCCCGCCAGCCCAGGAGCGCGTCTCCTCTCAGAGCTGCAGGGGGGTTGTGGTTAAGCCAAGCACGGGCATTGGCCAGGATGCTCTGTGTTGTGACGTTATGTAAAGGCATCTGAAGAATGACCAAAGGGGCCAACTCAACTAATCCAAACAAATATCCAATGGGAGGAGGGTAGATTGATTTCGGACCCCAGCTGACGATCAGCATGGAGCAGGCCGCGCTGCATTGCCTGGGAGATTATCCGAGCAGAGGTGCTCTGAGATCGTGGCATGCCAAGTGCAGCCTGAGAGGCCATTGTAACAATGCTGAGGGCGCCCTTGGCTCAGCATTCCCCTCTGTGCGGGCGCTCGAGGGAAGAGCTTGGGAGGTGGAGGGGCACGCTGTGCGTTTGTTTTGGCCCTGTGTGTGGGCAGATGTCAGGCCATAGCCACATCCTGAGAGAGTTCGTCTCCCGCAGAGCGTACAAGCCCCCCCCCTCCTCCCCCGGATCTTCCCAGGTCTCTGGGGGGAAGATCCCAGTGTGCATTGCACCGCATGAGGAAAGCCACCCAGACTCCTCTGTCTTCAGCACCAGCAGCCCAGATTCTCCCGGATTCAAATGCACCTGTGCAGAGCGGGAGCTGTGAACGGAACCCCTGGGCCCAGACTGTTCAGGGATTCCTAGACGGTCAGGCCCCAAGGGAGCATTACAATCTCCCGGTCTGCGCTCCTGCCTGCCCCAGGCATTCCTGCACCCCGCCCAGAACTTCTGCGGAGTGAACGCACATCGGTTAGAAAGAGACGCCCCGTCTTGACGGCAAGTGGCTGCGATCCCACCACATCCCAAGGCTTTGAAATGGCTGAGTCAAGACAAATGCAGCTGCATGGACCTTGCAGCTCTCTGCTCACTGGAACGGTGCCGGACGCAGACAGTTCCCAGGACACTGGGCAACACAGGTGGGGCGTCGGCAGCATGACCCAGGGTCCAGCGCCCCACGCTGGGCGTCGGGAGACGTAGGTTCCACGCTCGGCTCTGGCAATGGCTTGTCTGATCGCTTAGGCCAAGTGTCCAGTCGGACAATGTACAGTCCCTCCAGATGGGCTCCCCAAAACTGAGACACTTGAAAGCAGAGACCTTTGAAAATTGCAGCCTTAACCACTTCTGTCCCCCACCCCGTCCTGCGTGCTGGGCGCTCTCGGGACACGAAGAGCCCGGAGTAAGAGTTCATGCCGCACCCCTCGGTCTCCTTGGCATCATGCCGTTTGCAATCACAGTGCCATTCAACTCAAGCCTGTCTTGAGCAAATATCTATGTTGCGAGCAAATATCCATGTTGCAAGCAAAGCACGGAGGGAGCTGGCAGCTGTGAGGGTTTCTAGATGTAAACACAGCGCAGGCTGGGCTTCAGCTGTAAATATCCTGCCTGCCCGACCAATCCACGCCCTGGAGAGCAGCCAACAAAGCGTCAGCCTCCCGCAAACCACAGCGAGGGACACGCACTTCTGAGCAGAGCTTGCCTTGAACCTTTCCCTGGGGGCCGCTCTCCTCGACAGTCCAATGCCGACCTGCAATCTTCCCGGGAGGGGTCTCAATAAAAGGGGTACGTGTTCCCAGCACGATCTCAGGGAAGGTTAGAATGGGAGCTAGTAAAATATAACAAAGGAAGCAGCATGGTAAGTTAGCAGGCGGGGGCAGTGGGTGCTCGGACGCCTGGGTTCTATTCCTGTGTCTGTCACTGCGTGCTCTTGGGCCACATCTCCCAGGGCCCCGCACCCGCGGGTCAGGGCCAGATTTTCAGACACCAGCAACCAGCACTTTTCAGGTGGGCTGAGCATCTGCTGCTACCCCCAGGAGCTCAGCCTCTCCAGGAGCCCATGCTACGGGCAGGGGGCCGTGGCCTCCCACGGGGGCGGTCAGGCTGTTTGAGAAGCACTTGGATACCCACCGCTGCAGGATGCTGGTGAAGTTCAAAGCGCTGGTACCTTTAACTAGGGAACACCCGGTGCAGCTGAGTCCCAAGGTCGCTGTGGAGCACACGTCCACCCAAGTCATTGCTGTGGACTTGCAGAACATCCTCCATCCCAAACGCAGGGCCGAGGTCCCTCCCAGTGGGAAAGGGCAGGATCTTAGCCTCTTAGCCTCGGTGTGATCCCGACATTGAGGCCAAAGACTCGGAGGAGAGTGTATCTGATGCTCCAGGCTGCTCTTGTCTATCCCACGTGCAGCAGGCGAGACAGCCGCTGGCTCTGGGTGGGTTTCCGAAGGAGGGTGTTGTGCAGTAAAGGACATGTAATCGCAATAAGTAAATCAAATTACTGGCTGTGTCGAAGCCCCCCAGAGCAGCAGGGGATGCAACAGCATCCAGCTATAATCTGGTCTGAAACTCATCACTAGGCAATGGCCTGATTTAGGACCTAAACTCACCCAGGGATTTATTCGGACCTACTAAATGCTCCAGGCACTCAGGCACGGAGCTAAAGAGGTGCTAGTTTTAAGCCCCACATTTAATTCTCAGATACATTTTTTAAAGGGTTACAAAAGCTGCTACAGATTTTATTTGGGGGAAGGGAGAGTTTTTTCTGGGATCAGCAGAGCATCCAAGGTGGGCAGGGAATTTCACTGGGATTTGGGCACCAAACTCCCTCAGGCTCCGATGAGATTCCCAGTCTTAAACCTTCCCCCGTGGAACGTGACCCAGCTCTCTGCCCTAGCAGGGGAAGAAGGAAGTGAAACTGGCTAGAAACACTGCCAGCCTAGTTTCCCTGTCTATGTGGAGCGAAAGGCAAGACACAAACAAGCCACATGCATGGTGAGAAGTAAGCTTGGCTCTGCAGTTCCTCCCTGCTGCAGTCACCTGCTGCTGCAAACAGCACAGGGCAAGGAAGTGGTTTGGAACAGAGGATTGTTCTCTGACTGGTGGATTAAATTCTCCTTTGACGCAGGCATAGAGAGGGAGGCACTGCACTGAGCCAATGGAGTTACCCAGGGGTAAAACTGGGGGAAGGGAGAGGAGTACCAGGCCCAATGTCTCTTAAACTCATCAAACTATATGGAAATTCAAGGGCCATGGAAAATCTATCCACTGGCTTGTCAGGGAAATAGCCAGAAATGGGGAGTAAACTCAGTTTCCATTGCTTCTTGTACGTGATTTCTCCCTCATGGAATGGAAACATGAACGAATCTCCCCCCCGGGCCCGACACTGCCCAGATTACAGGGTCCCTTTTCGTGTGCCAAGGTTCCGAAGCCTTTTGATGAATGAGTGCACTGATCAGAAAGGCCCAGGCACACGGCTGCCCCCAGCCCCACCCCCGCCTCGCCCAGCGCACTCGGCAAGGCCCACACTGCTGGACACGAGAATGAAAGCAAGAGAGAGACTGACTCACTCTGACCCTGCTCCCACTCCATGGAAACACTTCCATTCACTTGAAGGGCTCAGACTCCCAGTGGGGAAATGTGTCAGAGTCCAGATTACGGGCCTCTGCCAATGCTTGGGCTGACTGAAGGCAGGAACAGGGAAGAAACAAAACTACTTAACCTGTGATGATTAAAGCGGAGCAAACGCCTTCCGTTCCTGGCCCCGTAGAGTCCTGTTTCAAGCAGCCCGCTGGACGCATCCGCTGGAGGCAGCTGGAACACCCCAGGTGCCATCCAATGGTGGCAGAACAGAGGCCAGCAGCATAAGGGCCTGATCCAGCTCCCCTGAAAGCCAGGGGAAAGACTCCTGTTGATCTCAGTGGGAACTGGGTCAGGCTCTCTGAGATCCACAGCATGCCCCACACCCCAGTTATCTACCCTTGGTCTCTTACAGTGGCTTTGGGGGGCAGTCCCTGCTCCTCTCCCAGCCCATGAAAACCCCTCCGCTCTCCATTTCCAGAGCAGGGAAAGCACCTCTGGCCACTTTTGGAGTTTACTCCGTGATCGCAGTTCCTAGATTCAGCCCTAGAGGGTTGAGCAATCTTTGCCTCTGGCCAGTGTTGTGAGTTCCGCACTGATTCACATCTGGCCAAGCGGTGCCTCCTGAGCCAGCTCCTGTTTGTGTCCCCAGAGCATCGCTCTCCCGTGTTACCTTCAGACCCTTCTCCGCGGTTGCACTTTGCAGAGCCGAGCAAGAGCAGCCTGCCCAGGGGCTCCACCCCATGCTTTCCGAGCACACTAAGGAGCTTGACAAGGGTTTAAACCAGTGCAAGAACCAGGCTGGAAACTCACCGGCCAGGCGTAATTCCCAGCTCTGCTTCCCAGCCAGGCCCAGACTGACCCCCCTACTCAGCACTGAGTTAGCTCTGTCACAGGGACTCCAAAGCACCTTACGCACACAAGTTAACTAACCCTCACTCCTCTCCTGGGAGGCAGGTCATTATTATCCCCCGTTCCTAGATGGGGAAACTGAGACAAAGAGGGGTGCAGTGACTTGACCAAGGTCATACAGAGAGGCAGGAGCAGAGCCAGGAATAGAACCCAGGCGTCCTGAGTGATATTCAGGCCTGTGCTTCACTACGCTGCTCCCTCCCCTTCACTGCAAATGCTGAAAGCTCCAGTCCTCGTGGAGACTTACGAAAGAACTGTCACTCCAGCTCCTCCCCCGAGTGGGCTTGGCTTGTGGTGCTAGCAGAGACGGGGGCCGCATTCAGCACTGATGCCAACAGAGGGAAACTGCAGCCCAGGGTCTAGACCTGCCAGAGGCTGCAAACGCCATCCCAGCCATGCCCACAGGGCCCAGGCAGCGCCGCAGCCCCTCGCACCCAGGACTTCCTCCCCCACTGCAAGGCACTCCCCCCAGGGACACAGGGCAGATCACTTTACTCTTTTGGCCCCCTTCGCCCATCTGCAAAACAGGAACAATACCCAGCTCCCGGCCACACCTGAGCCTTCACTCCTGCGTGACTCACCAATCTGCAGTGCCTGAAATCCTCCCTGAAAAGGGGCTAGCCAAGGGCAAAGGATTATTCTGAGGCCTACAGTCTTTGAAGGGTTAATTTAGGAGGCCAGCTCCAGCCCAGCACTCAGACACCCCAGTGCTGTGACAGCCCCCATGGCTATCCCTGTCCCTGCCTCTGGCACAGACTCATCACCCAAGGCACATCCAGGCCATCGTTCCCTGGCCCCTCCCGCGCTGGGCCGTTCGCACTCACACACAGAGCCGGCTCTGCCCTGCCCGTGAGCACGGCAGCGGGAGTTCTGGCAAACCAAGAGCAGCAGGGTTTGGCCGCTGGCTCTCCCGGGGCACTGCCCAAGCTGGCCCCAGCCCCGAGAGGGGAGAGATGAAGGGTGTGAGGAGGCTGGGCCATCCCGAGGCTGAGCCAGGCCTGCTGCAGGGGACTGGCCTGGCTTGTACCTCTGGACACCTGGGCTCTGGCCTCCCCACTTTCGCTGTCCTCTCCTCACCTGACACCATCTCTCGCTGTCCAAAAACACTCAGCGCCTCCTGTCTAAACACGGGCTCTGTGTTGATCCTGCACATTCCTCCAGCAGCCAGCTCCACTGGGAGAGGACACGGCTCCTTACTTCCGCCCCAGCTTCCAGCTCTGCTTCCCCTGCCAGCATCCCTTTGCTCTTTGCCTTCAAGAGGAATTTACTGGGCCAGCTTGGTGGGGGAGCTTTACATAAGGGCTCCCCTCTGATCCAGATTGTTCCTGGCAGCTCTGGCTCAGCCCTGCTCAGTGTTCTCCGGGGCAGTTTTATCCCCTTGGGAACAGATGCAAAAAAATTCTATGAGGGAGAAATAGCAACGCAAATCAGCACTGCCGAGGCAAGGGCCCTCCAGCGACCGCGCCGGGGGAAGGATTGCAAATGTCTACCGCAAGTCCCTGCACCTGATTCCAGTCCAGGAGCCGGGGTGAAGGAGCTCTGGGGGCTGGATTCCTACCCTACAGCTTGTGCAATGGAAAAGGCTCCACGTCCCTCTGTGGCTGCTGCTGCTCCACCACTCTTGCTACGTGTGTGTGGGGGGGGGGGGTCAAAGGCTGTTGAATCCACGGCCCCATCCCCAAGCCCGGCTCTTCTTCCTATGCAGTAAAACCACAGCATTTCCCTGGGCGGGGCAGGATTTGGGTACAGAGAATTCTGGAGGAGTTTGATGATGGGTCCAGCAGGCCACGCGGATTGGAAGCCAGCCCATTTCTCCAGCCGCTCTGGCTCCCGGCTCCCGGCTCCCCAGAGGTCAGGTGGTGACAGGTGGAGCTGCTGTTCTGAACACGGCCAGAGCCGCGATGGGAGACTCTAAAAATACTGCTGGACTGTCCCAGCTAGTTATAAACAGCTCCCCAGATAAGGGCATCTGGGTATACCCAGAAAGCCAATGGAGCAGCTGTTAGCTTCAGAGACCCTCTATCGTCTCTCCGCAATCTTGTTTTGCAATGCTGGGTCTGCAAACACGGGGACTAACTTTTGCAAACCCCACCAGGCACCTCCCTGCACCTTCGGGTTCCTTGGCCCCTGTGTAACCCCGGCCCTGAATGTGGCCCACAGGCTGCCTCAGGCTACCTTACTTGTGCTGTTCCCAAGCCCTTCTAGCCAATCAGAAAGCAGCTGACAAGGCCTCCCCTTAGCAGCCCAGTGTGTGACCGTTAACCCGTTCACTCCTGGACTGAACTGTAATACTGGACAAAGTAAATATCTAACACCAGCCCAGTGAAGAGGCTGTGAATAGATTATGGTACTGGGAGCTGGCACGCCTGAGTTTTAATTCTGACTGCCATCAGCTTGCCTTGGGCAAGTCATTTCTCTGCTCTGTGCCTTGGTTTCCCCATAGCACTCTGTACCTCAAAGCAGCACCCTGGACCCCCCATATTCTCCCCTGTCATATAATTATGATATATTTCATACAAAGCATGTCATAGAAGATATCATAGGAAAGGTCATGATCTGTTGAAACCCATTGTTCTGTCCAAATATGTATATCCTTAGTGTGTATGAAGTTATGAGATTGTGCCATATGGTTGTTACAGAAATACAGAAATGTGGTAAGTTTGAGAATCATCCACTGTCAGTTCCCCAGTGACAACAGAGAGGATCCACTCCCAGGAGGGTGTTAAATGACCATTAGTCAGCAGGGGAGTTGTAAAGAAGGGATTTACAATGCTGTAAGAAAGCTGCACAAGCATCGCACAAGGGCGGGCGGGCGGGCGGGGGGGTTGCTCAACTCTGTGACTCAGCAAAGCCCACCAGGACATGTCTTGGGCTAGTGTTTTCCAGGCAGCTGGACTGAGGAGGTAAAGTAAGGGACAGTGGCATCATGCTTTTACCTTTCTCTTCACCCACCAATGCTGGAAGCAACAAGAATACTGGGAAGACAAAGACTTGAACTGAGGAGACTTGTCCCAGGCCTAAAGGGGAAGCCTGTGTATTAAGAACTGTAACCTACCTACAACATTCCATGGAGTGATAAAACTGCTTGATCCAAATACTGCCTACTGTAATAAGGTTTAAGATTTAGACTGTGTGCTTACCTTTTATTTTCTGTGGTAACTATCTCTGACCTTTAGTGCCTATCACCTATAATCACTTAAAATCGATGGTTCTGTAGTTAATAAATCTGTTTTATATTTTACCTAAAGCAGTGTGTTTTGGTAGAAGTGCTTGGGAAATCTTAGCTCAGATACAAAGGCTAGTATGTGTCCTTTCCGCATCGAGGGAGGGGCGGACTGGGTAATGAACATCTGGCTTCTGACCAGGGAAAGACAGTCTATTCCTGGGTGCCAGGCTTTTTTTTTTGTTCCTCAGAGGTGGCAGCCCATTCCCCTTGGCCCGGCACATTGTAGGCAAGGTGCTGCCCTGGCAGGGCCAAGCAGAGAATTCTCAGCTAGTGATTCCTTATTCAAAGGCCTCGCACAGCCACAAAGCAGTCCAGCAGCCAGCCTGCTGGCCTGCAAGTTGGAACACCTGGGCTCCATTCCCAGCCTTGCCACTGACCTGCCCTGTGACCTCGGCCATGTCACTTCACCCTCTCCCCCACTCTGTCAGTGTTGTCAGTGGAGCAGGGCCCGTCTCTTTGGATGTGCATGGGTGCTGCCTGGCACAAGGGGGCCCTGATCTCAGCGGGGCCATGCTGGGCGTTACTGCAGTAAGAATACGGTGTGAGGTCAGGGTGGCTCAGGCAGGGAGACGGGTGGCTACTGATCTCATATCGCAACCCAAGCCACAAACTCACTCCTCGTTTTCATGCTCTCTGCCACGGGGACCTGCCCAGGAAAAAGATCCCAAATGGAATCCTCCACAACCAGCCCATCGGGTCAGTCTTTCCTTCTCTTCCCTGGGCCCGGGCCTCGTGTGGGCTGGAGGCACCACTGGAAGCCTCTGAGTAATGCAGGAAATGGAGGTGAGTCACTGGGCCTGCTGTCCAAACTGCTGCTCTTGCTGAGAATGGCAGTTCAGATTCGGCAGAAAAATTGTTTGGCCAGTCTGCCGGCCATAAATTGTTCTGTATTCCAGGTGGGGAAGGGGAACGAAGCCAGGCAGATGGGAGCAGAGAAACCACTGCAGAGGTCACGTGAGGTCACAGGGCACCGGAAGGTACCACCAGGGCTACGACTGAAATGCACAAAGCCCGTTCGGTCTTTGCCCCGAGCCTGGGGCTTTGGTCATACGGGGCCCCTCTCGCTGGCAGGAGCAGCGGCGTAAGCACGCCCTGGGCTCAGCCACGCTAAGACTTTTCCAGCTGTTCTCCAAAAACGAAGTCAGTTACTGACCCTTAATTCTTGCATTTTCTGTTCTCTGTGAAACTAGATTCCCAAGGCATTTTAAAGGGACACTCAGTGTAAGGACACCACAGTCACTTTCTTTGCCTCTGGTCCTAACATCAGAGATTAATCTTTTTTTAGATTAAACCAACTTTCTGCTGGTTTAGATGTTTGTTTGCCCCACCCCTCCTGCCCTGCACTCCCCTGATCTGAGCCAATGGAAATCCACAAAGTCAATTTCCATTTTGTGTATGGTCCGTTACTGCTTTTAATGTGAAATGGATGGTCCTGGGACTCAGGAAACCTGGCTCCGGTTCTGGCTCAGCCACTGACGTGCTGTGTCACCCTGGCTGAGTCACTTAATCTACCTTGTGCCTTAGTTCCTCTTCTGTACAATGGGGATAAGATTTCCCGAGCTCATAGAGCGGTTGTGAGACTAAACCCACAAATAGCCAAGAGGCTCAGACACTCTGCTGATGAGTGCCAGGTCAGTATACAGATAGCAAGCCTTAGCTGCAGAGCAGAAACATGGCCAAGTGGTTAGGGCACTTGGAGGGATGTTGGAAACGAGACTTCAATTCCCCACTCTGCCACAGGCTTCCTGTGTGACCTTAGGCAAGTCTCCTCGCCTTCCCATGCCTCAGTGTCCCTCCTGCACAATAGGGATAAGAGCACTGTGCTGCCCCCCGGGCGTTGTGGGGAAAGATATTAAAAGCCGTGACATGCTAGGAGAGTGATGGGGACAGAGAGGTGCCTACGATGCCGAACTGGCTCAGGGGGCCGTGGTGTGCCACGCCTGCAGGCGAACATGGATTTCTTCCTTTAAAATGTCTAACCAAGGAAAGTAAAAACAATTATAAATCACAGGAATCCCCTGGGCGAGTCTCATGGCCTGTTGCCTTCTGCCTGTCTAGTCTATTCAGACTGTACAGACCTCAGGGCACGGCCTGGCTCTCACTCAATGTCTGTGCGGCGGAGCCTCATACCAGAAAGGGCTCAGGGCCACGCCGCTAAGTGCTCGGCCCCCAGGTCAGGGTCAGTTCTCACAGGGGCCCATGCTGAGCGGTTTGAGGAACCCATCCCTCTGGGTCTCATGCTGGGCAGCTCAAACTGGAGACACCAAAAGCCAGCAGCTGCTTACGACAGGGCAGGACCCTCGTGAGCCTGCCCCAGAGCCATCTCAGCAGACGTGCCCATGAGTGTCTGCAGGACTCGAACCCGGCTCTGTACCAGCTAATGCCGTTGTGCTGCCACCCGGCAGCCATGGTCGGGCTGCCTGCTTTGCTACCTCGACCCACGGAGAGGAACTCCACAGGCCGGAGCACATCCAAAGGCTGGCCTGACAGCTTCCCCCACGCCCCGCTTGCTCCCGGCGCCCGAGGTAAGCCCAGGAGGAGTTCCCGGCAGCGTCCGTGCAGCGAGGACTCACTCCCAGCCAGCCACAGTGAGGGACCGGCATCTCAGCTGGCTTGGGCTTCAGCACATGGACTCTGACGCTAGACACAGACACTGGCTTTGCCCCCTGTGCCCCGGCTCCATTCCTGCCCCCTGGCATTGGTCCTAGACTCCAGCCCCAGTTCTAAGCCCTGACCTAGGCACCTGGACTCTGGCACTGGCCTGCCCACCCTCGCCCTGGTTGTGACAGTGCCCCTCGTAAGTATGTACACGTAAGGGACGGGGCCTTGGCAGTCAGGCCTAGCGGTCACAGCTGGGCTGGCGCCCACAAGGCAGGGATGGCCACGAGGCAGGACAGTCAGCAAGCAGGGATCAGAGCAAGCAGCAAGAGCCAGGGTCAGGCGGGGGTCGGAGCCAGAGATCAGAGGTAGTCCCCAGGGTGGAATCAGGCTCAGAGTCAAAGTCGGGCTTGGGTGGAAGGCTGGCAATCTGCCAACAGCCTGGGCCACCCTCCAGGGTTAAATAATGAGCATGGGCCAATCAGAAGGCTGCAGGGACCTGTCAATCTGGACCCTATGGGCGTCACTTCCTGCAGCACCTAAAAATCTTCACAGAGCTCCTTAGACTCCACTGGCCCTTGCCAGAGAGCCCAAAGCTCTGGCTGTTCGCATCACCCTGCTCCAACCCAGCCCCGAATTCCCTCCTGCACCCAGCCACGCCTGCAGCCCTGGACTCAGGGTGAACATGACGCTCTGCACATTCTCCTCCAC